TCTTGTCTTTATCGCACTAAATCACCCCCTTCTTTTAGGCTATGGTGCGCAAGCTCACGTTAACGCCGAGACCATAGCCCAGGCATAGGTCGGTGTTGTGGGCTTGCCTCACCAGCACAGGCTTGCTTTGCAGCCCCTACTCGACTCCCCCTGCTGTTTTGTTATTGTATATTAGTACTCTGTTGTCTTCTCCCGGCCCCTTCTGACGAGTAGGTTGTGTACTTAGTAAAAAAAAAATAATAATAATAATAATAAAAAGGAGGAGGTCAGTGCAGCCAGTCATATTGCCGTAATCTTCGACGGAACTACTTATCTTGGAGAATACAGAAGCCTTGCTTGGTAGTTTAACATGTTTTTCGATTTTGACAGCATGTTACAAGGCGAGGACGCGTAGTGCTCCTGACTACAACCATAACCCGGTTGGCAGAGTCCCGGTCTTGCGACCATTTGAACCGTATTGGGAAAACCCAGGTTCGGACCCTCGTTACTCTACGGGTTGGTAGGATTTTTATAATTTTCGTTTTTTGTGTTGTAGAAGTCGTCGTGTTGCCGCCGTAGTATTGTTCACGTTGCTGCCGCTGCTGCGATCACGTCTGGAAGGATTTGTGATGTTATTTTCTTGTCTTCCTCTGTAATTAAATTATTTGTAATTTATATTTCTTTTTTCTTTTGTTCTTTTGTTCTTTTTCTTGTCTTTTTCCAACTTCTGCCCATGGCGTCCTTCTCTCAGCTCGTCAGCTGTAACAGTCATAGTCATCACCATGACGACTGTTGTGAGAAGGTGCTCGCTGCCGACGAGGTTCTACAACACAAAAAACGAAAATTATAAAAATCCTACCAACCCGTAGAGTAACGAGGGTCCGAACCTGGGTTTTCCCAATACGGTTCAAATGGTCGCAAGACCGGGACTCTGCCAACCGGGTTATGGTTGTAGTCAGGAGCACTACGCGTCCTCGCCTTGTAACATGCTGTCAAAATCGAAAAACATGTTATCTTGGAGAAGCATTCGCTATTTTGGTCCGTTTTGGGACCAATCATGGACCATGCAACAGCGTCTAGTCCAAGTGTGTGTGCTGTCAAGAAGCTTAACTGGTTTGGAGGGCACGTGAACTCAGTAATTGTCTCAGCAGATTCTTGCAGATTTCCGATGAAAAGCCTGTAGCATTTGTGCGAGATGGAGCAGCAGTCAATGATGCTGCAATTACCCATGTGCAAGGTCTTCTGTACCCCACAGCCATCGACATTACGGAGGATTAGCAAGACGAAGTTCGCGTTCGCGTTCGCTCTCCAAAGAAAGTCGAACTCAGTGACGGAATTCGCGTTATGAGAAGGATTAGCAAACAGAATTCGCACATGCATGATGTTGACACGACGTAGGCAGTGCAGCGTGGTGAATTTATGACTGCCCTGACACGAATCCACGATTCGTGTTCCGACTACTTTTCCGAACGAAAAATGCGAAAGTTCGCAATCCAGTTCGCGAACTGAAAAATGTTTGCGAACGCGAACGCGAATTTCGTCTTGCTAATCCTCCGTATTATAATTATGTGCCTCGTACAGTCTGGACAACGTTGGCCGCCACTTTCAACCCCCCACCCTAGATGAATTTGCTCATTGGCGGATTTGCCTCTTCTCTAAGAGCCCAGCTGCACGGCTCAGCCTCTTCTCTAAGAGCCAGGCTGCACGGCTCGCGTGGAAGACACGAACAGGTGTTTCTCCTAAGTCTCACAGCAACACTGGATGGTGGAGCCTTTGGGAAGTTCTAGCCCAACTATTTCAGTACTTCGGTGACGTTGAGCCATTCCTCCATGACTGTGAGGTTACCGTAGTCCAGTTGCCTGCAGACACTGCTTGGCCATTCTTCAAAATGAAACAGCAAACAACAGTGGTGCCTTGCTTCGTGTTGAGCTAGCAGTTACAATCGATGCTGGTGCCAAGTTTGTGCAGAAGACATACGTTCTAGAAGGTGATGGACCGCTGAGCGTCGACACATAATGATCACCTGCAGGAGGTCGCCACAGCTGCGCAAGATGGATACTACCCCAATGTTGATGCTGTTGTGAAGCAAATTGCCCCCAACAGCTGTGAAGTTCAAGAACAGCTAAGGGTGCATGCAAAGGCTTGTGTCCAGCCAGTCATTCAGTACTTTCTGAAGGAGGTCAATCACACAGATGCACACTTTCGACGAGCAATCGTTGCATACAAGGCAGCTCGCCTCCTGTGTCCTCCCTCATCTGGGAGATGAATCCATCGCAGGCTCAAGTTGACAGCCTGCGCCAGGCTGCGGACATTGCCCATTCTCTAATTCTTGGTGATGACCATGATGTCATCGGTGATGAGCTTGCCGCCTACAAAGACTAAGTAAGTAAAGTTGCTGCAGCTGATGCTCCCAACACTGCAACAGTGTTGATCGCTTGGCATGGTGGAAGGATCAAGATAACAGATCGTACTCACCATCCCACCCTCGTCTGCAGCTAGCTGCTGAACCAGTATTCTCACTCCTCGAGTCTGCCATGTCATGCAGCCAGCAACATACATAATGGTCATTGGAAGATCACATCGAAGTTCAGCTAAATGCTGCAGTACAACCGTGGAAAACTGAGCACCGAGTTGTGAGCTTGCACCTGAGGTGCATACTTTACAAAGCGTTTCTCCCAGGACTGTCCGCTGAGCAGCGGAACACAGTAACCAAACTGGATAAACGTTGCATCCGTTGCGTAGCCGATGAGCACCCATTGGCCCACACTCTTCCCCTGTACACCAGGCTGGGTGTCTGCCCAGTGCTGGAACGAGGAGAATGCAAGCTCCGACTCCTGACATTTAGAATCCGTTCTGGAATCGTCAGTGAGCTGTTGTCGTCGCGAATTGTATTGCAAGGCCCGCCGACAGGCATGACCACTCGAGGTCAATTGGGACGCAACCTTCCCCTCCCCCTGGCCCACAGTGCTTCTGGCGCATGCCGACCGCTTCTAGCCAGCTGCCGACTCTGGAATGGCCTGCCCGACTGTATGAAGTCCATAGTATCTGTCCGTGAATTCAAACGCATGCTACGCGTATTTTACTTCGGTTAAATGTAAATTTGTAATGGCTTTCGTAACCTGCTGATGAGGCTCGATAGAATCATGCTACGATGAGCCGATTTGTAAATTTGAGATCCATTTTTTCTGCTCGTCTTGACCCTGCCTCCCCTCATTGCTACTTCCATTTTCGTATTTTTATTTTCATTTATTTTTCTCTTCATTTCTGACTCTTCTTACTGGTTGTCATCGCTTCCATAATATTGGGCAGAACTGCCCGTTTGCCTTGCGATGTAAAATAAATAAACAACAACAACAACAACAACAACAACAACAACAACAACAACAACAACAACAACAACAACAACAACAACAACAACAACAACAACAACAAAGAGAAGCAGAACGCAATGTGAACAGTCACCAGTCTTGACTTTGTTTACTCCACCACATGTACATTCACTGTCATTCAGGAGACAGTGAAGCCTGAAGGATGCATGCATGTCCTTGTACATACCGCACTGTCTTATACTAAGTTATCCTGCAGCTGGTTTTGAGGTCTTTGCGATCCATCGATCCATCAGCTGCGTCTGCGCGTTGATCCTATAGGGCGTTCCTGACAATCCTGTGGATGCGGAAAGCGCGGCCTCCAGCCAAGTCTCACGTAAACTGTCCATCCGTGTTCACAATACTCAATAGGGCTAGCCGGCTTGAAAGTGCTACGTCGCAGCATAGCAACAATTTCAAAAATTCAAAAACTGGATCCACTTGGATCCAGTTTTTGTATGGATCCAAGCACATTTCAAGCGGTCTTACCCACAGCATGGTGATGTAGCCAGTGAAACTGACTGATTTGGCTACTGGGGCGGGGTTACAACTGGTGGCGAAATAAAAGTCACACCTGCATGCGACATGAGTGGGTTGCTATGCACCCACATACTGAGGCAATGGCAAAGTCACACCTTAGTGGATCCAAAAATAGAAATCTGATGTCAACTTACTACTCCCTGGCCGTTTTGACGTCATCACTTTCAAGCCCTAAGTCACATCTGTTACTACATGTAGCATTATAATTATTGCAGAACGAGCATTCAAACTGGCATTATTGCTGAAATAACGAGCAGTGCCGAAAGCATTATCACAATATCAGCAAGATAAACGAGTCGAGCATTAGCCGCCGATGCCTACCTGTAGTAGCTCACACTGTACCCCATCGTAACCATGGTAACCCCATCCCTCTGCAATGTGTTGGCTTACTTACTTGCTAGTTCATAAAGTGGTGGACATCATGCAAGTTGCAACATTGCCAACTGCATTGTCACAATAAAAGGGGGTTTGTCAACTGGCAACCGCTCTATTTAGTTGCTATTCACTCTTGGCGAATGCATGCGCTGGATGAAAATTCGTTTATTAGTGATGTCGAATATATTATTGACGTTTCGGGCCAGTGACCCATCGTCAGAACAATTATTTACAAGGGGCGAACTTGGCCTTATAACGAAAGCAAGCGAGAGCGTATGTACACTGTATGTCCATGTAGAAAACAAACGAAACACACAATAGCCGTATGAAATTGAGTGTATGAATTATTTGCATGACTATTGTACAACAGACAAGGAGAAGTGCAAGAGTGGGTATGCATCATCACTCATCACTGACATCAGTTCTACATTAAAAATGTGTTGATCGCGTGTAGTATAGTGTGCATGACGACTGACGTGACGTGCATATTCTTTTATTTAATTTTGGCCTAGTCATGTCATGAGTCCAGACCTTGTCACCTTGCACGTAACGTCGTTGCAGCTTGGCCTAGGCTAAACAAAATTAATGAGTACATGTGCGCCTTGCAGCCGGTGTGTACTCTAGTCTAGGCGTGTGGGTATCAGTCACCGACTCACCGGTGCTCTACTGGCAGTACTGCTAGTGCTACTAGCACTAGCTGTCAGTAGATCTAGTACTGTACTGTATGGTCTGGGGGCTCTCAAGTCTGGACTGGAGCCAGTGGAGGTGCAGGAAGGAATGTTTTTTTCAGTCAGAAGTAGTTCTAGCGGATGTTGTTGATTTTTTGTTCGGTCTTGACGAACGTATAGTGCACGGTCTGTGCCCAACGTCGGGTGTATACGCTCTGTGTCGGTGTGCCGTCTTGCCACCGCCTTTTCAAAATCAGGCCAAATACACTGTATGACCTGATGTTTCGTCCGTGGAGGTGACGGCGAGCACCCGTCACAATGAATCGCCTCAGTAGCACCACTTGTTGGTGGTGTTTCGGCGTCGCTCTTTCCATCTTGGGCAGCATGATAGGCTATACCGAGGCTTCCTTGCTAATAGGCTCTCTCGATGTTGGAAGTAGTGCTGCTGCTGTTGCCTCGCCTCTAATCAATGAGCTTCTTTCTAAGGTTGGTGCTTTGAGAGCGGGCAGCCTTTTTTTCGTGTTGTGCGATTGCTCAGGCATGTTTTTGAACGTCGTTTCCTCACAGATTGTTTCTCGTTATGATGTGCTGGCTGTACAAAGTATTGCTGATGCCCAGACCGCAAAGGAACTGCTCAATTCCGTCAACAGGTATGGTGCTAGCTCACGAGTACAGTCATACCTGTACATGTATGTTCGTGGGCTTTTGTTTTTTGAGATATTCCCTTGTAGATCTACTTTACTTAGGCGACGGTACCAGTTGTGCCACTGGTCACAACCAGCAGCAGTAATCAAGGCCCCTCATCTACTACTGTCATATTTTATTTTTGGTACGTAATCGTTTAGTGAAAGAAAAACATCATACTTCGAAGTAGTTGTGTGTGTCTACTCGTTGTCAAGTGAGCTGGATCATCTCTGTTGCATGTTTTGTTGACTGTAGACCCCACGGGGCGTGTTGTATTGTCAAAAAGGTTTCTTCGGCGATTGGTGCATCATGTTTGCAGGGTTGAGCGGTTGAAGGATCACCTTCACCAGATCCAGTACTACTGCTAGGTTGCGTTGTTTGTGTCTTCAGTTCACTTGTTCTAAAATTAATAGTTTTGTTGCTAGTGGCTCTTCTCCTCGCTCTCGTGAACGCCGAGCATTCATGTTGTTTTGTATTGGTGGCGGTTGGTGCTGCCGTCTTTGTGTGAGAAACTCGTCCAAGTCCTTGTTGTGCCGCCGGTGAGTATGTTAGCAGGCAGCACTACAGCGCTTCCTCTCTTCCGACAGGGACTATTTCCGATCAGTGTCACTCGTGACTGGGCGCTCCTAGCTGGCTTGTAGCTGATGCACCGCGCGCGCTGCATGATGGACAGTTTAGCACTACATCAGTACCCGCGCACGGGCTTGGGCTGCGCACAAAGCAGCGAACACTGATCTAAATCACGTAACCCGTCGTTGCGTTGTTTGTAACTCTACCCCCATGGGCCAGGCATAGGCTTTACGCAAGATGATTTTTGTAGAACGCCCCATTTGCTTGGTCGCCAGCATAGCCTGTCATTCAGTGGCTGGAGCAACCTGCGCACACAGAATCCTTGTAGGGGTAATGATGTGCTCTTCCGTTCCTCTGACACATCAAACCCAGTAACAGGGGAGGCAAAGTAGTGATAGTGATACTCATGTCGTCATGATGGTAGTATGGGTAAACCTGTACTTTAGCGCCCCCCCCCCCCCATATACATTGTAATTATGGCACTAAGCACAACACTGATATACATTGTACAGTGTGGTCATTTTAGTGCTGAAATCACCTGAATACTACATTTTTTAGTACGAGACATCCGACGACCTGGGGGCACTAAAGTACACGTTTACTCCCTCCCCCCCCCCCCCGTAGTATGATGATTAGGGCTGAAACGATTATACCAAATAATCGAGTACTCGTTTGATAACTCTAACGATCGAGCAATCGTTTAGATTACTGATTTCGATTATTTTGCGTTTTTTAAATTTGTGTCCAGAAAGTACTGTAAACCCTCGTTTTAAGAAGTTTGAATCAGTTTCCGCTGGGAGTATGCAATTGCCAGGGGTATGGTTCATGTTCTGAGGTTAAATTGACTTCAAAACTGCCATGTTTCGGAGCTACCCTTTCACTAATGCATATTTGTTTGTGGAAACAGAGTAATGTTTGCACAGAATTATGACACTATTTGCTAACGATTATAATCGATTACTCGATCGTTAAGCTAAAGAGTAATCGATACGTGAAAATCCACGATCGTTTCAGCCCTAATGATGATGCTAATGAGTAATGTCTAATACTAGTAATAGTAACATCAGGGAGAGATGACTGTAACCTGATCACTACAATACAAACTATTTGAAGAAGTTGCTAGTAACGTTGGAGCTCTCCTTCCTGCCAGCAGGATCTTCAATTATTGCGCTGGGAGGCATACCACCTTTTCGGACAGGGGCCCTTTCAAAATGGACTTTTTCCAATATGGGTTGACTGCGATGTGGCCACTGGTAGACAAGAAGGCAAGTTAGTTGGCACGACTTATATCACATCCGACCCTGGCATTCTTGAAACATAATGCTTTCCCTTAGTGGTGATCTATCCTTGTACAGGTGGAATCCTGATAATTCGAACCTCAAAATGCCAGGAAACAACTTCTAACTATCCGGACATTCTAATTATCCAAACATGAACCCACAACACAATATGTATGTCAAAATGCTCTCATGGTCACCCAGAGTTGCGCTATGGATCTTAGACACAGATTTCACGGATACTGAACTGACCGGCACAGCCTGCTCATGCAAACTGAACTGACCAGTACAGTGTACAGTGAACTTCGAATTACACTTTGCTAACTTCGAATTATCAGCACAAATCCCACGTGTTTTCTATGTAAGTGGAATCTGTGGGACTTCTAATTAACCGGACATATCCAGTTCGAGGTTCGAATTATCAGAAATGTTTATGTGGGAATCGTATTGATAGAAATCGGTCCTGGAAAAACTTCTAATCAAGCGGTATGTTCGAATTAAGCCATATTCGAATTATCAGGATTCCACCTGTAATATTGGGTAGTGTGTCTGTATGAACATGACGGTATAACAAACACATCAGCATGGTTGATGCCGAAAAAATCCATGGGCATGGGGATAGTGGTGGCGTGTTCTAGGAAGTGGCAATGTCCCATGTGTCTACATGTGTCTATATGCCCACTTGGCAACATGGTGTAGAAGGTGCTACAGCTGCAAGTACATGACTGTATGTGTTCTGCCCTTTGCTGCTGGGCGGCCATGCCAGCAGGTGTACTGCTATTCAGGTGGGTGCATCACAAGCTCTCCAAGTGGGTTTGATAGCCTTGCAGGACTTCAAGACAATTATCAATTTGTATGATTGTGTGTGTGTGTCAGGATCATTCGGGACTGTTACTAGTGTTTGTGCGTACTTGTACTTGTACTCTGCTACAATATACTACATTGTCCTATCCAAGAGCCTTTACTGTCATACTGTTGTGAAAAGCCCAGCCAGCAGGGCAGACAGAACAGACACAAGCAGGCATGCGATACTTACTTACATATACTTGTACCTGATTGTACTATACTAGACTGGTGCTGAACAACGTTTTTACTCGTGACGGTGGGTCCAGTTCAAAGCTGTAGAAATCTAGTCTGGTGCTATCTTCAAGTCTCTCTATTCTCCGTTCTTGTCTTGTTGTGGTCTTGGCTCCCCAGTCAACTCTCTCTCTCTGGAGTCTGGCGCTGTGGTTTTGAAAGCTATGAAAGGCTGAGCCTGGTGTAGCTGCCTTGAGTTGAGTGTACTCCCTTCATTCACCGTATCCATACACATGATCATTTCAACTGTACAGTGTCACACAGTGTCACACAGTTTCCCAGGCCTTGGATGTTCCTTGTACATGTACATGACTTCTAGAGGGGGGGGGGGGGGGGGGGGGGGGCATTGCACGCACTGTTACCTTGTGAAGTTGTGTACCTAGTACCTGTCAATTGTCATGCAGAAAATGATACACATTTTGAGCTAGAATAGTTCTTGTAGACACGGTATTATGCACAAGTACACCCCAATAATCTTGTCTGTGGTTTTTGGCTTGTTGCATGCACCAGCTTGTACAGAGTATTCCATACTTGCCTTATGGAGTGCTCTTGATGTATTGATTCATATTGCGGTCTTGTTAGTTGTACGTGTAATCAAATGATTAGTTTGCTTCACACCTCAAATCTTGTTTGTGGCTTGGGAAGATAGCTGAAACAGGTGACAGGTGCTTGATTTTCCAGAATCATTCCCATGCTGATGTTATGGGACTCTCCCTAAGAATCACCCACCCACTCCTACTCCCTGTATGAATGAACTACAAGAGGGGTGACTGAACTGAAGAGAGTGTGTGTGTATGTGTATGTGTATGTGTGTGTGTGTGTGTGTGTGTGTGTGTGTGTGTCCAACCTGTTGGAAGGCTACCTTCTTGCCAAAGCATTTGGAAGTTGGACTAGTTTCGGCTCCACAATCCAGTGTGTCGTTACTATAATAGCTTTCATGGCTGAGGTTGTTGGTATGTCTGTTGGCTCTGGGTTCCCAGTACTCAGTAGCCGAGGCTGGTTGGTAAAGTAACTAACGTTACTTCAAGGTACCAGTGCATCTAGTGTCTGCTTCTATCAAAGCAACGTGCTGTCTATACTGGTTACCCCAGGAAGTGTAGGGTGTGCATAGGTAACTTTCTTGGCCGTTTTATGCCGATGTACTCTGTGTGGTGTAGACCAGGTGTGCATTGGTGGTCGATTCACATGGCTTCGCCAGTTGTGTGGATTAGACAGTTATCTGGCGCAAGCCTTGATCTGTCTCATTCAGATCTTGTTGGCTATCGTTGCTATAACGTATAAGAGAAAATCTGTGGGTGCACATCCAGTGCATTTGCAGATTTGCGTGCTTCTCTTGCGACGGGTGTATACATGGTACATGGTGTGTGTGTGTGTGTGTGTGTGTGTGTGTGTGTGTGTGTGTGTGTGTGTGTGTGTGTGTGTGTGTGTGTGTGTACCTGCATCCGTGTGCTTGTGTGCGTGTGTGTGTGTGTTATGGATTTGATCTTTTTGCAGGAGAGCTATCAATACCAATGGAAATGGAACTGCCAGTATATACAGTGTGGCTCTCGGTGGTAGAGGTGCAGAAGAACAGCTTGTATTCTTTTACAGGTATTTTAACCGATGTAATTGCAATTTTGGGTGCCATGCAATTTTGGGTACCACAACGAAAAAAATTAGAAACATCCCAACACATCTTTTCCCACTCTTCATTAGCATGCTTGTTTCTACAACGTGGACTATAGAGTTTGATGGAAAGCTCAGGGTCTTGTAGGGAATCCCTTTTTACCTCTGCTGTGAGTACTGACGGAAGCCTCCTGGGGCAGTTGTTTTGCATGCAATGCTAGACCATGACATCACTATAGTGTATAGAAGACGGTCAGGAGTGGTATCTGGCAATGCGAATGTCATCATCCACCTCACGTTTGACACCATAAATTGTACTCGAGTGCACATTGCACTCATACACGTGTATACAGTGGCAATATTTATTTTGGACCGCACAAACTAGACATCTAATGCAGTTTAAGGGAGCTGACAATGGGAAATAATCTAAAGAATTATGTGACTATCACCACCAGGAGTGGAACTAGGGACCCTCACTTGAAGTTGAATTTAGATTTGTGGATTCTCAACTAATCGAGGAGGACACCTAAACCGGTGGCGCCTCCAATTGGGCCCGCGTTTTATCCTGAAGTTACACGGTACTCAACGGACACGCACATCATGGTGGTGTCAAGTCCGCTTCTACACCCCCACCATCCTCCTGGACAGGCTGGAGTGGGCCCACAAATTCTAAACCGGCGTGATAGTTATTACAGCTTTGGTATTTTTAATGTGGTTTGGTCTTAGTGGCGATGTTTTGGTCTTAGTGGCGATGTTTTGGTCTTAGTGGCGATGTTTTGGTCTTAGTGGCGATGTTTTGGTCTTAGTGGCGATGTTTTGGTCTTAGTGGCGATGTTTTGGTCTTAGTGGCGATGTTTTGGTCTTAGTGGCGATGTTTTGGTCTTAGTGGCGATGTTTTGGTCTTAGTGGCGATGTTTTGGTCTTAGTGGCGATGTTTTGGTCTTAGTGGCGATGTTTTGGTCTTAGTGGCGATGTTTTGGTCTTAGTGGCGATGTTACGACTATGATCCAAATGATGATCACACTACAAGGCTACCATTCTTTCTCACGTTTGCATTTCTGGCTGCTATAGACGCTCTTCAGTGTCAATCGTTGGCACTTGGAATTACCCCAATCGGAATGGAACCTTTGACACTACTCCTTTTGCTGTGCATGTTCAGCCTGTGCGCAGTGACAGTGTGGGTGAGTACTGGCAATACTATCGTATATCTGTTGCCATAGTCTGTCACATTCTCTTTCAGGTGTTAGGTTCTCGCTCCCATATACACACATACACATGTACTCACACTCCGATTACCTCATGCACCTTTTTCTGCTCCCCGATTCTCCAACTTTTGACCCCTCATTGACCCCACACATGATCCCCCTTTCCCATAATATCCGTTGACCTGGGTAACTGAAGTCTTATCATGCATATTTGCCCTAGCTACCTAGGCCCCTTATTTAGCCTCTTGTGACTGCTTTAGCTCTTTTTCCCATTGCTGTTGCAAACAAAACCTAATATCTCCAAGTCCCCTCGACCTCATGTGAGCTGTGTGTGTGACCAAGTTTTTAACACAGGCAACAAAACCGCTATTGGGGGAAATGTGGGGGGGGGGAGAGAGGTCAGTGCTGGAATTTTCCGGGAAGATCGCTGTTTGTTCCATGGGTTCAGACTGTCAATGGCTGCCGTTGTACAGCAGACACCACACCTAGAATACTTGACTGTGACTATGGTAGATAGCTCTGTAGGTGTACCAGAACTTGTTCTAGTTCCTGTGTCCATATGTCACGAACATATATGAGTTTGTCTTCTATGCATTGGTCCTTTGACGGTGATTGTATTCCTTACAAAGCCCAAGCCATGAACTTTGCTTACCCTTGGTTAGTGGGCCCAGTCCAAGTGGGTAAGATGCACCTTTGCTGGCCTCTTGATACTACGAGTATACCAGACACACAATAATCACTGGTCATTTGAATTGCACCGTCTTGCTTAATATTTGCTAGCCATTTGGACAGTGGCGTGTGTGGTATCGGTATGTACTCGTACATTTTAAAAGCATCGACAATGCATGACGTAAAATGCACGCACCAAAGTAAGGAATGCTATTGGACTTGTGTATGTGTGCGTGCGTGTGTGTGTATGTGTGCGTATGTATATGTGTGCGTGTGTGTGTATGTGTGCGTGTGTGTGCGCGTGTGTGTGTTTGATGCCCAGGGGTACGTGATTTCTTGTGCATATCTGCGCACACAAGCAGTGATCCGGTCAAGAACTTAGCCATGATTCAAGAACTCCCTTTGGTTATCCAACAAGCCAAGTTTCACTTCAGTCAGCAGGGCAGTCCGGTGCCCGACGTATTGCTGATGGGCAATCTGAATGCTGATTGCATGTACGTGCCTATGCATACTGTCTTATCCTAGCATAGTACATGATGGAGTAGATGCATTGCAAGTAGTTCCAGGACTGTCAATGCAACACATCAAGTAGTTCCAGGAATTGTCAATGCAACACATCAAGTAGTTCCAGAAATTGTCAATGCAACACATCAAGTAGTTCCAGGAATTGTCAATGCAACACATCAAGTAGTTCCAGGAATTGTCACTGCAACACATCAAGTAGTTCCAGAAATTGTCAATGCAACACATCAAGTAGTTCCAGGAATTGTCAATGCAACACATCTGGCCTTGGCTCACTGTAGCAAGACCCTATCAGTTTTGTGACAACAATTGTCAACTGTCTGCTTCAAAGGCTTACCACGAGCCAGTCAGGATACTCTCCTGCTAAGAATAATAGTTGCAAGTGCACTGTGTTTTTATTTATTTATTATCATTATGTGTGTGTGTGTGTGACTGTGTGCGTGCGTGCATGCGTGTGTGTGTGTACGTGTGTGTGTGTGTGTGTGTGTGTGTGTGTGTATGTGTGCACGTGTGGATGTGACGCACATGCGTGTGATAGGTCATTTCCATCGGAAAATTGGCAGAAGATCTTGCTGTGGACTGATAGGGGTAGTGGCTACAAGTGGCTGTTGACCCGTTCAGCGGATACGACCACAACAAGATCAACATCATGTGCTTTGGACCGGTACGGCCTGTGTGTGTGTGCATGTGCTTTGGACCGGTACGGCCTGTGTGTGTGTGCATGTGCTTTGGACCGGTATGGCCTGTGTGTGTGTGTGTGCATGTGCTTTGGACCGGTACGGCCTGTGTGTGTGTGTGTGTGTGCATGTGCTTTGGACCGGTACGGCCTGTATTCCATACCGAGTAGTAGCAGTGTTGGTTCTCAGACAGCAGCGTCTTAGTCTTAGGGTGGACTCGCATAGATGACTAGGCTCCCGGGCAGCCCCGGTGTTGAGTCGGGCTCGCTCGTTCGCAGACTGTTAGACAACAACTGGATGGGTTCTGAGATATCTCTTACTTAGACTATCATGATCTCAGACAATACTACAAGACAATATCAAAAGGGAAAACCACTCGAAAAACCATGTCCGTCATTCCAACTCTCTCTCTCCAGAACTCCCTCAGCACAAACTCACCACTCACTCAAAGTATGGACAAGCCCGCGCAAAGCAATAAACACGTGACACGCAGATACCGCGCGACACTAAAACACAGCTAACAGTGCACTACACGTAGGTAGTGACAACAATGCAAAGTCAGATACATGGCGACTGATATCATGCAGATCAGTAGCAGTTCAGTTAGTTGAGGTCGAACCTCAACATACCTCCCCTTCTTTCAAAGCAGGAGGGACTAGCAGTTTACAGGTTGAGCCTATCAGGCTGCTTCTTGGCTCAGTCGGATCGATGCGTTGTGACATTGGTCGCTTCCTGGACCGGCATGGGAACTTCGGTGTCCGCTGAGGCGGGCGTAGCGCGGCACGGCTTCACCTGATCAAGATGACGGCGCTGGACGGCACCACCCTCGGTCTCGACGGTGGCTTCATGAGCATTAGCCTCTAACACTGTGGCTCTCTCTGTCGCGCCGGAGGCTTGCTGTACAAAGACTGCGTCACTTTCGGCCAAGTGACGTGGAGCGGTGTGATACCGTGTGTCATACCTGTCCTTGACAGAGGCCTTCACTGCAGCTTCTCGCACTCTAACGGCTTCATCCAGTTCGTCATCGTCCTCTTCCTCAGATTCTGAACCGGGGCAGCGCAGAGCTTTCAACTGCGTGCGGAATCCACCGCGCAGGAACAGATCTGCCGGAGCATGCCCTGTGGTGGCATTCACCGTGGAGCGGAGGGTACCGAGCGACTCTTGCATCGCTCGCTTGAGGGACGCCTGCGATGACTTTCTGAGATGGCGCTTGAGTGTCTGGTGCAAACGCTCTACCGGGTTTTGCCTTGGGGTGTACGGGACAATACGCTCGTGCTGGATGCCCCAGTCACGAAGCTGGGCTGCGGTCTCTGCACTGACGAACTGGGGACCGTTGTCCGAGATGACGCGCACTGGATACCCGAACATGGTGAACATAGCGCGAAGCGCTGTCACCACCCGCGAGGACGTCTCACCGGTTAGTTCTGCAACGAGTGGATAGCGGGAGTACAAATCCATCACACTCAGAAACGCCTTTCCACCATAGTAGAAGACGTCAATGGCAACCGTGTGCCAGGGCCGTGGTGGTAGCTCTCTGGGCTGCAGAGGTACCTTTGTCGGTCGAGCTTCGAGCGCACATGGCTCGCAGCTTTGCACGTGCCGCTTCGCTGCATTGGCCCAACCAGGCCACCACACTGACTCCTGCAGGCGTGACTTGGTTTTCGGGATGCCGGGATGCCCATCATGTGCCAGCTCGAGTACCTCCGGCACACAACACTCTGGGATGACTAACCTCTCCCCTCGCAATATGACAAAGTCGTCAGTCTTAGGGTACGGCCATACACTCAACTCGTGGCGAAGACCACGGTACGGTGCCACTGCGGAGGTCGACGGCCATTTGTCAGTCAGGAGAGCTTGGCGCACTGCACATAGCGTCTCGTCCTGGGCTGTCTTGGCGGCTATCTTGCGTCGTTGATCAGGTAGTAGACCGTCAGCACAGGAGATCGCTTGCACGACCAGGAAACTGGTGTCTGCTGGTTCGGTCGGGAAACGTGACAGAGCATCGGCTAGCACGTTGAACCTGCCAGGGCGGAACTGGACTCAGGGCCTGCTCTAGACATTCAACACAGCCCGGTCAGAGTGTACCTGGCGCATGCAGGCCAGCCGGGTCAAGCCGGGTCAGATCATCCGGCAGAAAACAACCAAAAGCCTGCTCAAAACGCAGGAAAACAGAAAGGCGAATTTATTATCCGGAAACCGGAAATTTTAGAGAACATCGCCACGTAATCCACCGCCGCTCATCTTCCTTTAGAAATGCGTCTTGCACAAAGCGTATGACATGGATAGACTGGCATGGTCGTAGTCCAGCCAGGGTCGACCATTCTTCCAAGTGTCTTGGAAAGCGTGAGTTCTTTTTCTCTTCGCTGTGGGCTCCATCGTCCAAATCACCAGTCGGCTGAAAACTTGCACCTGTGTCAAAAGCTATAGCCAAAGTTACGCTTTTGACTGCCTGCCCCATCGACTTTGAATGTCCTTACTTCCTGCTCGCCGCTGGCCAGATCGCGCTCGAACCAGTTGACCCCAGTTGACCCTAGCCGAGTTTCTGTCGCTTGTAGACTGTAGTGTGTACGGTTGCGCTAGATTTGCAACAGATGGGGTCCGCGAGTCGTAAAATAGCGGTTTTTTAGGAATCCATTGTCAGTTTGAGACATTTTTCAGCCGAGTCAGACAGGACCCGGTGTTATCTGTTCAGCCAGGTCGTGCAGTTCCCCAGCCGGGCGCGTGACCCGGCTGACCCGGCTCTCCAGCAGGCCCTGGGACTTGGTAGTGAAGGTCTTGCACCTTCAGGATGAGCCGTTGCACCCGTACACTGGCGGCTGACAAGTTGTATGCACGGTCAAATACTTGCAGAAGTGGTTTGTGATCCGACAACACTGTCACGGAAAGGCTGGTGATGAAACTGCGGAAACGCTGCAGGCCCCAGACTATCGCCAGTGCCTCTCTCTCGATCGTAGCGTAGCGGGTTTCTGGTCCAGTCAGTTTACGACTAGCATAGTACACGGGACGCCACTCGTCACCGTCGTGCTTCTGCATGAGGACGGCTCCTAGACCCGTACCAGAGGCGTCGACTTCAACGCGCGTCGGCAGGGTAGGGTTGAAGAGTGCCAACACGGGCTCGGTTGCAAGGTGTTGTCGCACAGCGGCGGCTGCCTGTGTACATGCTGGAGTCCAGTCCCAGTTTCGGTGTCGGCATGAATGCTGATGCCAGCGACAGGTGGTGCCAACAATCCTAATGCAAGTGACACACCTTCGCCCAGGAGCGCCGGCACTGGCTGCTTGGAGTCGTCAACAACAAAGATAGTCTCTTGTACAGTGAACTGGTTGTACGTGATGCACGCCTCGAAAACACCAACAGGTTTGAGCTGAGACGTTCCTACCGGACGTAATGGGCAGGGCGATGACGATAGCCGATACTCGCTCGGTACTTGTGACTGAGGCAGGACCGTCACCATGCTGGCCGAATCCACGCGCATAGCCCTTTGGTGCTTGCCATCTAGCACTACCGATCGTAGTGGAAGCACAAATCCAGTTTTCCCGGACCAGACGCTGAAACATTCCGCATCGTCGTCGTCATCGCTGTCATCCATTTCCGCAAGTTTCGGTGAAGACACCTGACTTCTGGACGATGGCGTTGCTGCTGGTCGGGTATCATTTGCCATGGCCAGGCTGGCCGTCATCCCTGGCTTCGTGCCCAGGTACTGGCCTTTCGGCTTGGGCTTCGCTGCGCCGGAACGGCAGACTTGCCCGAAATGCCCTTTCCGTCCACACTGGTTGCACACGGCGTCGGCCGCCGGACAGTGCCGCTTTCCCGGTGGGTGCGTCGCTCCGCAGTACCCACAAGCGGGGTTACTGGTGTATGGAAGGCTGGGTCGGCCTTGTGTCTGGGGAGCGGCGTAGCTGACCTCGACTTCCTTGGCTGGCGTCTCGCGCGCCAACACAACTGCTTGAGCTCGCTTGGCTGCAGCCGTCAGGTCCTTGCCTCCCTCTTGTAACACACTCTTCCGGGCCGCTTTCACAGACAGGCCACGTGCAAACAAATGTACGGCGACTGTGCCGAGTACATCTTTTAGGTCAGCTCCTGGAGTGAGATTGCATACTCTCATCTCTTTCTCGATTCGGACCCGAAACGCCTGAATCGATTCCCTAGGCTGCTGCTCAATGGAGAACAGCTCAGCAAGCCTGGCATCCGTGCTGCGCTGGCTTCCAAAATACTCATCGAAGAGCCCAATTAGTTCCGCGAACGGGTCGTCTGCCTCAGGGATCGTGGGAAATTTCTGCCACAAATAGTAGCTTGCATTTTCTCCTAGATTCGCCGCCGCGGCCAGGTACTGCTTCTTCTTGTTGGTCACCTCGTGGAGCTGGAAGCCGATGTCCAGTTGACTTCTCCACGTCTGGTCATGGTCATGGCCGAGTTCGTGATCTAAGTCCAGCTTGACAGATACGCGGACTTTCGATGCCATTGTTGTCGCCGTCGTCAGTCAGATTTTCGGAACGAGTGCCAAATCCTGTTCACTGCGCCAATGTTGAGTCGGGCTCGCTCGTTCGCAGACTGTTAGACAACAACTGGATGGGTTCTGAGATATCTCTTACTAAGACTATCATGATCTCAGACAATACTACAAGACAATATCAAAAGGGAAAACCACTCGAAAAACCATGTCCGTCATTCCAACTCTCTCTCTCCAGAACTCCCTCAGCACAAACTCACCACTCACTCAAAGTATGGACAAGCCCGCGCAAAGCAATAAACACGTGACACGCAGATACCGCGCGACACTAAGGCCAAGTAAAATAAAATCCCAGTTTATCGTCCTTTTTTTCACAAAAATCGGGGAGGGAGGGCGGATTTTATTTTTATTTTTTATTTTTTGATGTGCTACAGACTACTATAGTTCTTGCTTTGTGTCGCCAACACTAGCTTGGACACAAGAGACAACGTCGCTCTCCTCAAGGCGCTCCCCATGGTCCAACTCGCCAGCGCTGAACTGGGTGAAAATGTCCGAGAGAGTTGAAGACGCAGAGACAACACAGCCATACCAGGACTTCAGAACTTTCAACCCGCGACGGATTTGCAGCAAAACAAACGGCATGTCGCTTCTCAACAAAGTCGCAACTACGGAAAGAACGGAAAACTGTCGAGGTCTCGACAGGATGAAGACGGACTTTCGGCAGAAAGACGAAGCTGTGTTTTCAAGCCTTAGCCGACGTAAAAAATCAAGCTTTTTGGCAAAATTCTAGATTTAAAAAATAAAAATAAATTCCGGGCGGCCTCGAAAAATGGGGCGGGCGGGGACGATAAACTAGGATTTTTTTTACTTGGCCTAAAACACAGCTAACAGTGCACTACATGTAGGTAGTGACAACAATGCAAAGTCAGATACATGGCGACTGATATCATGCAGATCAGTAGCAGTTCAGTTAGTTGAGGTCGAACCTGAACACCCGGTGCAGCCAGAGATTACATGTACTTGCATATGGTTTGAGTACGATTAAAATACGAGAGAAAAAAATGCCAAAATACTTTACTTTACTGCCTGGAGCAGCAATGGTCTCTACAACTAAAACAACTCTTTTGCACCCACACTTTGAACATGTTCTAAGTCTTCCGGAGCCATCCAGCCATCCACTGCCTGGGGGTGATTTACAATATGATTTCCAAGATGATGTAGGAGCACGATACATTGGTTAACATCAACACATGACACCAGAAACTGCCAAAGAGGTAATATTAGCTTCAGTACCAGTGTGCACCAGCCATGTGTAAATGTCACGCCGGTTGAAGCCTTAATTTTGCCTGCTTTTTTGGGCTGCGTGGCATCACTGTTTCATTCGTACCTGACGATGGCAATATTGCCCAAATGTTGTACGTAAAAGAATTGCTTCGGTCCTTTGCAGTGCTTTGGGAATGGGTGTTCATAGTTATGAAGCAACTATCCACGACTGTAACGAGATAATAAGCAGTCAGAAAGTGCGATAACAGGGCACTAAACTGACATGTTACTGTGACATTCAACGACCTGAGACCTAGCTCTCACACACCTCCAACAAGCTGGAAGGCTGTTGGTTTGCGCACCGGAGGTGTGTGAGAGCTAGGTCTCAGGTCGTTGAATGTCACAGTAACTTGTCCGTTTTGTCAACTTTTGTGCCCTGTTATCGCACTTTCTGACTGCTTATTATCTCGTTACAGTTGTGGATAGTTGCTTCATAACTCGTTTCCATGTGATTTCATCTATTTTAATTATATTTATTGGCTCAGTATCCAACTCAATTTTAATAATATTGGCATTATTATAATGCTGGATGAAACATTGTTTCTGCTGTGTGTACTTCAAACTAGCATCACGCGTATGCTCGTAAGTGAGAATTTCATGCTCCAAAAATGTATATGTACTACAACCCACAATAGTACACATGTCGACTTTCTGCTGTATCTGTTTCAGATTTGTAGCAAGTGGTCAGGCTATGATACAGTCGATTGTAGCTTCCTCAGCGGCCGTGTTCCGATTCGACCTTGCATATGCACTGACAACCGACGAGGTATGGACTTGTTTTCATCTCCAACTAGTGCTACAACAAATTTAAAAAAATGATGCACCTGGTTTTGTACACATGCGGTACGCAAAATAGCAAACAGCAACAGTTTCATCATCTTTTGTATGGAGTGACATTGCAAGCACCGATTTGCTACTCCATACAAAGCATAATTATTATAGAATGATGTCATGGGTGTAAGCTCTGCTGTAAGAGTTGAAAGTGTGACGAGGCTATGGTTTAACGATTTGCAAATGCTCAATGCTCTCCGAGCCAGTGGTAACCCGGCCAATCTTAGTGGGGGGATTGGCAACTTCATCCATGTTTAAAATCCATTGAAAACATCTTCACAGTCTCTATCTCTATTATGTTATGGCCTCGGCAGGCTTTGATGGTTAGTGAACACTATCCGATTGAGGTGCGAGTACAAGCAGCGGACACTGTTAGTCAAACGCCAACCATGAGTGGTAAGTAGTTCACGTACTGTACATACTTGTGCTGTACACAAACACGTACCAAGAGTATATAACCCCCCAAGAGTGTGCAACTCTGCATATGGGGTCTCTGACGGCGAAAACTCACATCACGTGTCTCAGATTCATTCGTACTACACTCATACCTCGTTTATCCGGGCAGTCCGGGACCTTGCACTGCCCGTAACTTTGAAATGTCCGTAACTCCGAATCATATACATCTTGATGGGGAAAGTGCACAAGTGTGCACAGAACACGGCATGTGACGTCACTTTTTCCACACAAAGTGACAAAGGAGTGGTAATATTTCCACTGAAACTTGCCCCCAGGGTGCCCGGTAGACCGAAGTGCCCGTAACTTCGGGGTCCGGATAACCGAGGTATGAGTGTATGTACAAACGAAGGATAGCGTGCGCGCAATCCGAATATCTGCCATGATCATGCTGGGGATTTGCATATCCGCAGTGAGTTTCTGTCAGAGAGTGCTTTTTTATTACTCTGCTCGCTAAAAACGGGCTGGAAACGTACAACTGCGACACTACACCACGTGATGTGAGTTTTCGCCGTCGGCGTACCCCATAGAAGGGTACCAGGAGTTGCACACTCTTGGGGGGGGGGGGGGGGGGGGGGTTATATACTCTTGCACGTACTTGTAAGTTTCTCCACTGGTCAAAGACTGTTCTACGCCCCGGAGCAGAGCTTTTTCACACAGCAAGGACAGGAAGTTTCATTGCAACTCGGAGTTGTACATCGGTCATTCACTGTCCAGCGCTGTGCATGGGTAGACTGTTGTGCTGCTTAGCAGCCGCATGCACACGGTGTCATGGATGCTTCAAGGAATAGACAGACCGGCTGGATTTAAATTTCATCCTTGTCGTGTACTGTGATGAGGTACATCATCATCATAAGGCAGTCCGTGATTATTCTGTGAGTGTGTGTGTGTGTATGTGTGTGGTGTGTTGGATACATGTGCCATCATTCAAGTTGTCACATGCTCTGACTTCTGTATGGCCCAGGTAATCCAGCACTGGTAATCCACACCGCACCCATAGGGGTCACAAACAGCCGCACAGCCAAGATCTGGTTCGACCTGAGTCCCATGCCACCGGACTTCAATCCGAAGAAGGACACGTTGTCGTTCATGTGTCGATATGATGATGCACCAATGGCAACCAGCTGCTCGAGTCCTTGGACTGCCATAATGATGGAGGAAGGTCCACACACGTTGGTCATAATTCCCGTGACATTGCAAGGACGCAACTATTCTGCTGCCAGCTACACTTGGAGTGTGGGTAAGGTTTCTCCTAGCTGTGGTATTTGTATCCGATATGCACGAGAACAGTGTCGTTTTTCCATACAGGTTGTAATTCCAACATGCAGTGCTGAGTTAAGTGGTGAATTGGTAAGGGACTGTCCAGAACGAGTGATAGTGTCGCACACAGGCTGTGTTCGCACAATCTGGCTAAGTGCCGGTGGTGTCCGGTATTCAGTTATGTTGTTCATATTGTCCTGCAATACATGTAGATACAAGACCACCAGTGATGACGTCTATACTAGCTGCTGTGGACAAGACGGACCGGGCTGTTCTGGCATTCACATGTGACGAGGCTAACTGCATGTATGAATGCTACAGTCATGATGTCAGGGACAACCCAACGACATCATTTGTACCCTGCTGGGGTGGCTACCAGAGCACACAGCCCATATCGCAGTCCGGGGCCAGGATGAACATTTCTGTGCGGGCTGTTGACAGAGCGGGAAACACTGGTATACCTGTTCTCTATTCAATTGATAAAGGTCAGTAACGAGTGCCTCTGCTAACACATAGTTCTACTCCCTTTACTCCCTTGGGAATTGGTAAGGCCTGGAGTTTCTGGGCATTTGTGATACTATCAATCAACGTCATTCTTAGGTGTGTGTTCTTTTAACAACACACACCTAAGAATGACGTTCTTTTAACAACACACACCTAAGAATGACGTTCTTTTAACAACACACACCTAAGAATGACGTTCTTTTAACAACACACACCTAAGAATGACGTTCTTTTAACAACACACACCTAAGAATGACGTTCTTTTAACAACACACACCTAAGAATGACGTTCTTTTAACAACACACACCTAAGAATGACGTTCTTTTAACAACACACACCTAAGAATGACGTTCTTTTAACAACACACACCTAAGAATGATGTTGATTGATATGGTATCACAGGTTATTTGTAAAAGATGCGACTTGATCCTTGGAAAATGGGGGGGGGGGAGGGGTGCATGAGGATTTGTTTGAGTATAAAGTGGGAGGTCCAGTGGACAGTTAACTTGGAAAGGGAAGTACTGCTCCTTTGGCTTAGATTTTCTGTATTTCTTGTCTCTTTTCTCAGGTGATGCAACTGCCGGCGATTCGTCTAAGAATTCCACGGCCAGCTTTCTGACTAAAAATCTGATATTTGTAGCATGTGGGTGTACAGCCTTGGGAGTCAGTATGGTGTGGATCGTAATATTGCTAATGTGCCGAACATCATCTTCCAGCAATGATGATAAATCCTCTGACAGAGAAACATCACCGTACAGAGGTAGGGGAAAGGCTGTGGCTGATGGTGGCGCAGGTTCAGGCGGTGGCGGCGGCGGCGATGCAGACAACAGTCACCATACGACGACACCCGTAGCTCTGTCACCGGTGATTGTCACACCGCCACCTGTTTTAAGTGCACATTCGCCAAACCTTGAATCTGGTACTGGTCAGGTTGGAGGAGCTGATGGTGGTCATGCCAGTGCTGCTAACGGTGCTGCTGGTGCTGGAGGTCGGGTTAGAGGTAGCAGTGCTGTGAGCCATGTTACAATGTCCATGCAGGAATGCAACAGCACATCATCCATGAGGCCTGCCATGTATGCCGCTGGAGGAACCGGCTATATGCATATCAAGCGAACGCAGGCCCTAGAACAAACCACCCACTTCAACGCTATGGAGGTTCATGAGTCTGTGAACCGCGAGTCGGGTGATGGACAATCCCATAAGGAGGAAAAGGCTGCGTTTGAGTTTGATCACCATAGTCGTTTGTCTATGTTCAGTCATGGTGTACTGTATGACAATAAGAATAGAGAGCAGTGTCCATCTCGCTCACATCGCTCCAGTCGCTGTGTCTGTGGTGATAAAGATGAGCAGATTCGCCAGCACAATGAGCGCAAGCGTGAGCGTCGTCGTCGCCGTCAAAACAAGCGCTGTCGTAATGATCATCACTACGGTGCTAGTAGTGGGGCAGTTACTGATGTGGAGCACTATACATACCAACCATTAGTGCTCAAGTCTAACCCACAACAAACATACTCACCAAGTCCACATCAACACCAGCATCATGCTGCCAACCGTAGCCTACGTACTCATTCTAACCTACCCGAGCAGCCAGAAGACGCACTGAGCAAGAAGTCTAGAACATCGGCTGAAGCAGCCGCCGCGGCTATGGCGAGGGCAGCAGCAGCTCTCAACAATGGTGATATGGCTACGGCAACGACTATGACAGATGGTGCAGAGGACAGCAGCAATAGCAAGCCAGATGTCAAGCCCAAAATTCTGGACGCAATGCAGCGCAGGAAGCTAGCCAAACGTATGATGCAGGAACGGCGCGCATGGGCCCATTACTTCAGTGAGATCAACCCATCAGATGGTGAGTCAGTGTGTTCATCCATGCGCAGTGCTCCAGTCCTTCCCAGTGGACTGCGTCTTCTCACAATGAGTGTGGATGCCAAGAAAGATCCGGATACACAGTCTGTTGTTTCAGGAGTAACAACGTGTGTTTGAATCTTCATTATGTGCCCCAGATGACCAAACTACCCCATCATGTTTCAAGTGTACTGATGCTGGCCTATACTCGAGACATTCTCCTCATTCCAAAGTAGTGTGGCTACCCTTTTCTCAGATGCTGTTGACTGAAGACAAGATGTTAGTAATGCTGTTCCCGACGTTCACATCAAACTTCAGACGTATACCAGACTTCATGAAGGACATCTCTTTATCACTTTCTTCCCAAATTGAGATCCGTTCTAAATGAAATGACTACAAAGATCAATTATGCATAATCAAACTGGGCAGACTGCATGCAATCTGGTGCCTATATCAATAATAGAATTTGAGTTGTCAATGAATGGTCCTGGATCAATGTTGCGACCAAAGTGTGGAGGACACTATTTTACAAGAGAAAAAGTCTTGTTAAATGTGTGCAGTTAACCTGCGGGTAAAGTGTGCGTGCATGCTTGTACATGCATTCCTATAAGAAAACTCAGCTGGTGTGGAGCCGGCAGATTTGCATGCTTCTCATGGTGTGCATATGTTGTAATCTGGAGTGTTTTTCTGATCTCTGATAACTTTCCAATACAAGAAGTACGAGAGCAGCATAGTAAAACGAAACAATGATGCAGAGCAATTGCAATAAAGTACAAAGGTATTCATAGATCAATGCAATAAGTAAAGCAAGTTGTGCATTCAATACACACACCATTGGCACAGGTTGTTCATAGGGTATTCATAGATCTTGAACAATTGAGCACGTCTTTGCAAGATAAATTAATACACGTCTCCATATCAAAGCTAAAATAGAATAGCAACTTAGCAAGCGAAAGCTCTGTCTCTTGCAGTCTTGGTCTATCTGTAGGAAGACCAAATGTAGGTAGCATAGAATTGACCTTCAACTATTTGAGTGCACAGATTCCGGGCCACTGTGCTGTTAATCAATGGCCAGTGGTGCTGTCATCCGGCAGTAGGTTATTGGCTCCGAAGATGTTCTTGGGATCAATGTGGTCCTTGAGTGCACGGATTGCAGCAACACCTTCGGATGACAGGGTTTCTGTTACCCACTTCTTGCGGAGTTTCCCGACTGTACAGGAAAGAAGATAGAAAAAAGCAATGTGTCTATTTTGAAAAAAAATAAAACTTAAAAAGTGTCCATTCGTTATGTCTTGTATGCATTAGTTAGCTTGGCTCTGAACACTACTTCCTCTATGCAACTAAAACCGCATTGCTCATAGCAATTCAATCATGGTGACGAGAGCAGAGACAAGAGCCTGAAGAGGTGTTATGAAGAGGGTAATATGCACCTACTGCTAACATTAATTTTGATCACGGGGAGGATGGCAGTTCATGCGCTATGCCACGGGGAGGATGGCAGTTCATGCGCTATGCCACGGGGAGGATGGCAGTTCATGCGCTATGCCACGGGGAGGATGGCAGTTCATGCGCTATGCCACGGGGAGGATGGCAGTTCATGCGCTATGCCACGGGGAGGATGGCAGTTCATGCGCTATGCCACGGGGAGGATGGCAGTTCATGCGCTATGCCACGGGGAGGATGGCAGTTCATGCGCTATGCCACGGGGAGGATGGCAGTTCATGCGCTATGCCACGGGGAGACAGAACTGATTACGAGCAAAGGGTTTGACAGTACTGGTGTTCTTCAGGAAGAAATTATTCAGCAATGTCAATGAGGAAGTGCTATCAGGCCAGGAGCAGCATGGGTGCACATTACTTCTGCCTTGCTATTACCACCATTTAGGCTTGCATTAGCGAGTGCTGTAGACACTAAACGGTGCCACGGTGACTTACTGCCGTGGTGATGAGAGACACTGCCCCCACTGGCAAGAATTTCATTACGAGCTGCAACCTGCAAGTACATAACAAATAAGTTAAACCAAGAATCACACTTGAACACAAAGCAGCAGCAGGACATGCAGCTCACCTGGACTCGGCCTTCTCAGCCTTTAGTTGTACACGTGTACTTCAGAAGTACTCTGTTTCAGAAAGCTACTGGGCTTGTCTGGTGAATGTCACTGAGCTGAATTATGCTGGGTCAATGTTTCCACAGTGGAACCCAATGAAGCAGGGGAGTAGGCTCGAGTAACGTTAACTTGAAGTGCCCAGCAAACTACAACCCAGCATGCGTGTCGTGCGGCATAGCTGCACAACAAAATCCTGGCACTGTAGCCGAGGATGAATCTACATTTCCCTGACCGGTAGTGTTTCGACGGGAGATGATCCATTTGTGTGCCTGAAAGGTGATCCATCAATTATCAATTTTCTAGAAGATAACCCGCAGTATGCCTGCAGTATGCCCGCAATGCCGCTAAGTAATAGTAAGTATTGCTAACTAAAGTGCTGCTCAATGAAAACGAAAGGGTGAGTCAAGTTTGCACCCTGAACCAGTTCACATTCCAGTGTTTGCAGGTATAGGGCTGCTGCAGGGTGCCCAGCGCATACTTGGCTCACATCATTGGATTACATTGAGCAGCAGCATTGCCACCCTGCCTAAGTCACTCTGATAAAGTGACCACCTGTCCTAGTAGAGGACCACAATAACTAGGACCAGGAGTACATAACCCCCAAGAGTGTGCAACTGCCTGCACAACCTCTATCGTTACAGTGCTGCGGCGGCAGAACTTCACATAACTTCACATCACGTGACATGGTTCAAAAGGTTACGCTGGGAAACAGTGCAAAGTGGCCACAAGAGAGTTGAACCCAGAGCAGCGTTGCGAACAACCCTGTATCTATCATGCACAGGGTGCAAATAATGTGTAAGGGTTCGTCACGTGATGTGAAGTTAGTTCTGCCGTCGCAGACCCCATAGCTGGAGTTGCACACTCTTGGGGATTATGACTGTACTCTTGCTAGGACCAAGTGATGTTGTTTGCAGACAAATGACCCTAGATAAAGAGACCACCTGTACATAGCGACCGAAATTTGAAGGTCCCTTGAGAGGTGGGCTTAGAAAAGTCTCTTGAACTGTATACGCTAACCCCATGACTGTATACACTACTAGACAGCAGGTATTGAGTTCTCCTCTCTGCGGCTGCATTTCTCATTAGGCCATTGTGACAAAACATATTAATGATCATGAGTTGAATCCTAGCGTTAGCTTCATGCATTGTTCTCATCATGTGGCTCTTTTCTGTATGATCATGTTGCTACTGTGTGGATGGGTCCTGTGTTGATAAAGCAAATCACTGGGAATTCCGCGTTAGATTCGTCTACCATGATTGATATCTCAAAATCTGCTGTTTGGAAGGTGCAAGGTGCCATGCAAAGTTTTTAGCTTTGTGTAGGCTTATCAAAAAGTAAATTTTGCACGTCCGCATTACAACCGGCTATACAATTGCGTTGAGAAACACAACCAGCTTAGGAAGTTTCGCTCGTGCCAGGTCACCACCATGCATGTAATACCAGGGCGGCAGTTGCAGCGCCTAATGGCGAGGGCGAGGTAGTAACTCTCACAACCAATGCCCAACAAGGGGCGAACCTCGTTAGCTGAATCCATTTTACCCTCACTCCGAGTAGTGAGTACCCAGTTGACCGTGGGTGTCGGTGCAGTTCCTTGCATGTATAGTGGTTCACGCATGCATCACCGCATTTTTTAGCACAGTACACGCTCCCTGCTCCCAGCGCGGGTCTCGAACTCGGGACCTTGTGATTCGCAGGCAAGCCTACAACCACTCGGACAAAGCGCTGGTAGGCTTATCAGCACTTCGATAAACTGTAACATATTGCAAACGAGAGACCTATAATACTAATCTCAGTTTATGTTGCCAATGAATGTCACTGTGTGGTACTAGTAGTATTTCCTCCAGTTTACTTTTACCATTCATGCTGTCCATGAAAAAATCATTCAAAAAATCATGAAATTTGCCCAATGGGAAATGTTACAACTGTCACAACTCTTACCCAGGCAGGCTTACCCAGGCAGGCTTACCCAGGCAGGCAGGCTTACCCAGGCAGGCTTACCCAGGCAGGCTTACCCAGGCAGGCTTACCCAGGCAGGCTTACCCAGGCAGGCAGGCAGGCACACAGGCAGGCTTACCCAGGCAGGCTTACCCAGGCAGGCTTACCCAGGCAGGCAGGCACACAGGCAGGCAGTAAAAAGTACATTAGTGGTAGCAGTCCACTCACCTCTAGTGTGTCAGCTGCAGCCACTGGATCAGCTAAACCCTTGCTGTTGATTGCCATGTAGAAGTACACGCAGGCACCACAGTCGTACGTCTGTGTCACTCTGCGGCAGAAGACAAACGGCACAAGAACACCGCGCACAGCTCTGTATACAGTCGTAAACTTCAGTCTGGAGCAGGATAGTAGTAATGTGCACTTTACACAAATACTGGTAGCGTTCACACTACACAGCACATACGACGAGTACATGGTACATGTACGTCTTACAAAGTTGCGGCAAGAGCTTACCGGCAGGAGATAAGTGGTGGATGAACTAGGTTTAGTTTGGAGCATTCTCTTCGCAGACAATCTTTCACGTTGCGACACAGTGAAAGAACTCTGCAGTTGACAAAGAGACAGTCATTCAACAAAGATGCTACTGGGTCTTTACATGTCATGATGTCAAGACCATGCATACACTGGTATAGGCCTTGTCAGTTATGGTGGAACTGAGGCAAGCTCTAGTAGAAGATTACTACACATGTACTACCCTTAACTTGCTTATCACTCCTGCAACAAAATGCCTTGTGTGCTGAGTTTGGTGGTCTTGGTGCGAGGAGACAATGAACTAGAGGTCAGCTATACCAAAAGAACACTTCCACTGCTCCCTTTGGCATGCCCGCAATGGCATCACAGCCTCAGAGTCCAGACATTTAAGAAATGATGTATCCCAACCTCTGCGGACCAAGACCTGGAGTTGATTCAGCATCCGTAAAAGACTACACATTCCGCAATTTCGACTTATAACTCTCCCTTTGGTGTGGATGGCTTTTCCTCAACATCCAATAATATATCTCAGTGATGTTTCGGGTCATAGGTTTGCGGGTCATAGGTTTGCGGGTCATAGGTTTGCGGGTCATAGGTTTGCGGGTCATTGGTTTGCGGGTCATAGGTTTGCGGGTCAGAGGTTTGCGGGTCATAGGTTTGCGGGTCATAGGTTTGCTGGTCATAGGTTTGTGGGTCATAGGTTTGCGGGTCATAGGTTTGCGGGTCATAGGTTTGCGGGTCATAGGTTTGCTGGTCATAGGTTTGCGGGTCATAGGTTTGCGAGTCACAGGTTTGCGGGTCATAGGTTTGCGGGTCATAGGTTTGCGGGTCATAGGTTTTACAAGAATAACACTGAGTCCAGCCTACTCTCTACTCACTCACCTTGGCCATGGTACTGATGTCTCGAATGAATCGCCTACAAACAAGTACTGAAGGCCAAAGTCCTACAGGCACAACAATGACCAGCACCAATATGAGCAGTTGGTAACACATACCATACTGCAAACTCACCACTGAACATACCCAGACATACAAAGCACAGACTGCTGGTTTTATCTAGAGCCAGTCAATGTACAGGGCTTCAAGGAACTACTCGTTTTACAAACTATTGCACAACAATTACGCCCTATTGGCACTTTTGGTCCTTGGCAGTGTCGTAGTCCGACCGGATACGGCAGCAGCATGCTTTCCTTCCTTGCACAGTGCATTAACACGGTGGCAGTTGTGCACAGTGGAAGAATTGCCTGTGTGTGAAGCTGGTGTGCACCATCAATCAGATTCATAGTCTTTAGGGGGGGGGGAGTACTTCGAAGTAGTTCCATATGAATGATAGGATAACACTGACAGAATAATGACCGTGATGAGTCCATACTTGAAACATACAACATACAACCATGATTATGGGTCAATGCATGGCGGCACGCTGCGGCCTTCGTTGCATGACAGCTTGCCTGCACTATGCCCTGTAACTAGTTACTCATGCACTCAAACCGGCAATCTCTCCTACCACCATAACCATTTTCACTTGATTTGCTTGAATAACGTGAATGAGCTTCAGTTCCGCACGAATGTTGGTTTCAAACCACAGGGTAAAATGTGGTGTTCGATTTTTCCACAGTGAGCGGATGTAGGCGAATGATAGAATGAAGGCAGTGCATCGCACATCTGGCCCATAGAAAAGACTAAGGCCTGAGGTAACCTGAATTGCATACTCTTGCTTGTAAACTCTTGATAATAAGCACAGGTCGGGCTGAAAGCGGACAGTCATAGATAACCTCGGAGCTATTTACAGTCAATATTGCAAATAACGACCCTCGCTTGGCCATGAGGAAAGTGTTGTTATACGCAAGGTGTTTAAAAGTATGCGATCACGTGGTCACTTGGTCTGAAGATAGTCGGTTGCTATTCGCAAGTTGTTGTTATATCTGAGTGAAGATAGTCGGTTGCTATTCGCAAGTTGTTGTTACATCTGAAGATAGTCGGTTGCTATTCGCAAGTTGTTGGTATATCTGAGTGAAGATAGTCGGTTGCTATTCGCAAGTTGTTGTTATATCTGAGTGAAGATAGTCGGTTGCTATTCGCAAGTTGTTGTTATATCTGAAGATAGTCGGTTGCTATTCGCAAGTTGTTGTTATATCTGAGTGAAGATAGTCGGTTGCTATTCGCAAGTTGTTGTTATATCTGAAGATAGTCGGTTGCTATTCGCAAGTTGTTGTTATATCTGAAGATAGTCGGTTGCTATTCGCAAGTTGTTGTTATATCTGAAGATAGTCGGTTGCTATTCGCAAGTTGTTGTTATATCTGAGGCTAACTGTATACATGTATATTGTATACTCAATCTGCGGCGGCGGGGGGGGGGGGGGGATCATTGTACTCAATCTGCGGCGGCGGGGGGGGGGATCATTGTACTCAATCTCCGGGGGGGGGGGATCGTTGTACTTCGAGTTGTAGTTGTGAGATGGCCGCGCTAAAGCACCTTTCAACTGACAGTTATGTACCGGGCTTACCCGAATGTAGGCAATGAGGAAAGTCAGCAGGTAACCACGCCGTCCATTCTCTTCGCCTCCAGCCATCCCTCTGTGCATATCAGTAAAGTCAAAATATGCATGAGGTATTACAATAATATGCATAAGGTCTCCAGTTCAGCCTCACAAGTCACAGTCATGCTTTCAACAGTGCCATTAATGACTGGGGAATGTGTACAACAGGAAAGGAAAGGCGAAGAATATGGATGTGATGTGTGCATACCACTGCCTAGGTGTACGGTGCGGGACATTTAGTCTTGTTGTGAACAGTTGATCCATAGTCCGATGAAGTGTATCGTAAAAGGAAGATGATGCATTGACTGCTTGCCGCGGCATGCATTCAATAATATTATGACTTTCCGTAACTACCCATTGTACATGGCATCAGACATAACTACCTGGATTTGGATACACACTGATGCCTCTAGAACATCTTAGCATACATCAGACATCAATATGATGACTTTCTTTGTATATTTTTTGTACAGTGTTCACTGTTCTACTGCCTGGTAGTGCCAAGCTACAGTGTTCACTGCCACAGTGTACTGCCTGGTAGTGCCAAGCTACAGTGTTCACTGCCACGTTCTACTGCCTGGTAGTGCCAAGCTACAGTGTTCACTGTTCTACTGCCTGGTAGTGCCAAGCTACAGTGTTCACTGCCACGTTCTACTGCCTGGTAGTGCCAAGCTACAGTGTTCACTGCCACGTTCTACTGCCTGGTAGTGCCAAGCTACCACTCAATACCGCACTGTACCGTGACTAGCAGTGACATAGCAGTGACATAGCAGTAACATAGCAGTGACATGCATGGCTTCGGGAGTAAAGTCACACTACCTGAACTGTGCGGCAATGCTGTACACTCTCTTCTCCTGGATTGCTACTTCCTGAGCAGTAAAGGACAGATCAACAGTTAGCAGTGACCAGGTTGGACTAATTCCTGCAAACACATTTCGCAGGCACTGATCCACAATGAAACCGCATTGTAACAAAAGCAGGTCTCTAAGTCCCAACTTGACACATGTAAGTTGAAATATTACGTCAAGAGTATTCAACATAACAGCGTGGAAGCGGGAAGTTATCAATTTCAACGTAGGAAGAATACAGGGCGTGTTGGTGTTGACACAGTGAACGTATAAATCGCACTGGTGTGTGTGTGTGTGTGTGTGTGTGTGTGTGTGTGTCGTTGGAGAGATGTGGCAGCTTCAGACCTGCGTGCGACCGGTATCCCGGAGGCGCAATGGTACCACCTTGCTCAGGACCGGAGGGACTGGCGCGAACGTAGCCGTCGGAAGCCACCAAGCCAGCCCCAACCAAGAGTGTTCGTCTGTGTCTGCGGCCGCGACTTTCGCCGTCCGAATGATTTATCCCGACACAAGAACTACTGCCTCGCCTAATAGCTATCATCGCCTTCGGCGATGGGCTTTCCAAAGGTCCAAAGGTGTGTGTGTGTGTGTGAGAGAGAGAGAGAGAGAGAGAGATATGAACATTACGCGTGACCATCAACGCCTTACCTCCTTTGTGCCTTCAAATAGTAATGTACAGCCTGTGAGCGTCTGTGGATCATAGCCCTTGAACTGGTAACCATAGAAACACAAGAGAGGGGAGCCATAGAAACGCAAGAGACGGTAGCCATAGAAACGCAAGAGAGGGTGGCCATAGAAACGCAAGAGGAGAGATCAGGATAGATTTATTTACGAGGAAGATTAAACTCATGATCATGCTGCATGCCATGATGTCTGGTCAGTTCCAATGGCGTTGTAGCACATGCACACACTGCCATTGACTTCCTACCTTGGTGACGTAGAGTTTCTTCATTGCATCCATCCAGGTTGTGAACATTGATCCTGGAGGACCCTTCATGGCATGGCCTGAAGAATGAACCAAACAACACTAAATATTTCAGTACAGTTTCGTCACACAACATAGCGTGCAAGTCACGGTCAACAGAAAGAAGCCGGAAGATTGGGGTCAGAGTGAACTGTGCAATGAAACAAATGAAAACAAATGAGTACACAATTTCCTAATTGCTGTGAGGCAAGCAACATTCTGCATATCCAAACCAATCATACCGTAAACTAATGTAATGCTGGGTCATTCCTTGGGTCAGTACCAGCACTAATCTAAAATATATTCCATACGGAAAGGAGAAAGCTGAATGAGAAAAAGCAAATACCTCAGTGAATTGCTGGAAGGGAAAAAAACTGGAAAAAGTTGGGCTTGTCCGGGATTTGAACCCGGGACCTCTCGCATCCGAAGCGAGAATCATACCCCTAGACCAACAAGCCAACGGAAGTCCCTGGAGATAGCAGGTATGATAGAGGACAAGGTATGATGGAAGATTGCATGGTTGACACATGCCCACTTAGCAGTAAAGTAGAGCACTTGTCACCAGCACGGTTTTTACAGGTGAGATGTTTCCAATCCAGGGAATAATTGAGGTTGATGTGGGGGAACAACTAGCTTACCAAGCTGAAACTGCTCATTGTCCACTAGTCTGATAGAAGCTGGTGCACATCGCTGTACATGATGCCACCAAGATTGTAAAAAACAATAAGGACTAATGGAGACCAAGCCAATCATGATCTAAAGTGAGTCTGACATCTTCAAGACACTGGCTTTGGGTATTTCACAACAATCAGTAATTCTGAGCTCTCTGAGCTCCGAGCTACAGCCTGGACACTCAGTGGATAAGGTCCAGCGCCTCCGCAGTATTACACGAATGTACATATAATTATACAGTTCAGTACCCCAACTGGTACCGTATTACCGTATTTCCGCGCACAAAGCACATGGTGGCTGAGGGGTGCAGAGACTTTTAGGGGCAAGTTAGACTGCCCATTCGAGTTCATTGGCAAGATGGAAATGAAATTTAAATATGCTTACCTGTGAATCTCTAGAAGAGCCCTCTCTAACTCCCTTTAGTCTCATTTTCACTTTTCACGCAGAAGCAGCCCCGAACAATTGACCCCCAGCTAATTGCTCAGTGGCTGCTGTGTTGCAACTAACCTGTTTAGCAATCTCTCTCATGAATCCAACACCATTGGTGAAGTCAGGAAACAGGATAGAGCCGTACTTGCGAGTTTGTGGTACTGGACGTATCCGCAGAGTGGCTTCCGTCACAATTCCAAACATTCCTGAACAAAGCAAATGAACAAAGCAAATGGCACCATTTGAGGCGACAAGTGCTAGTGTGATATGCTTCAACCGTACAGTTCACATAAGTACAACACTGCTCAATAACCGTGACCAGGACACAGGAAAATAGCAGTGCTACATGGCCTTCAACCTCACGGCTGCATGGCCTTCAACCTCCCTCACGGCAATCTCAGGCTGGGAACAGAACTGAGTACAATATAGCTAGTTGATTTGTCACAGTGGATGATGAACAGATGCGCACTCAGCGTGGCTTACCTTCAGATCCCATCATCATATGGTGGATATCAGGTCCAGCCGACAACCGGGGTACCTGCATAATAAAGAGAATTAGCCGTACATCTTATGACACTAATGGGCACCTGATAGTGGACTGTGAAGTGAGTTTCATTGTATTGGCAAGAACTCAATCAATGGCTTCAAGTCAGCCTACGCCGGTACAGTGAAACAGCAGTACAGTCCAGTCAGATTGTACACACCACGGAGGAGATATGTTTACACAATACTCTGCTGTACTTCACAGGGCTGTGCACCATTACTGTGGTGTTGCGGATCGCAAAAGCTCTGTAAATCTTTTTTTAATGTCCTCGCCACTCAGCATGACCAGTTGTGTAGGAAAGCCGATTATTTGGATAATTGACAGGTAATCTTACCATGCAACTCTTCTCCATGGTTCCCTTTGGAGTTACCATGCGTATTCTAACCACCTGGAAAATGTGTGAGAGAGAAAGTGAGCAAGGGAGACCGAGAGAGGGAGAGAGAGAGAGAGAGAGAGAGAGAGAGAGAGAGAGAGAGAGAGAGAGAGAGAGAGAGAGAGAGAGAGAGAGAAGAGAGAGGAGAGAGAGGGAGAGAGAGAGCAAACCCATTCACAAATCTGGTCACAGACACAGACAATCATACGAACAGACGGTGCAGCCTGACTGACGTCATAAAATGACAAGAAAACACCACGCACACACTACATGCTCTCTCTCTGACAAGAGTCCATCAGAAAATCTCCGATGAGGTATTTCAAGAAGTCACTCACAAGGTCTTCGATGTTGCCATAGACATTCTTCTTCATGCCTGATGCCCGTGTCGCAATCCAGCCTCCCAGTGAGCTGAGCTCCATACTGTCTGGCTCGTGCCCAGTGCAGAATCCGAGTTTACCAAGCTACAGGAGCATACACACACATGCACACATTCCCGCATGTACATGCACACAGACACAAACACACACACACACACACACACACACGCACACACGCACAAACACACATAAACACATGCATACACATACATACACAAGCACATACATATCCATATGCATTGATAAAAAGTGACCCTTGGCATGTATGAAAGCAGAGCTTACCAAGTAAATCTCATTGTTGAAGGTGGTGAAGCGTCACATATCAGAACATCAAGATGGTGTTTTCTATCAGATTCAAAAGGCGGTGAGTTCTTAGTTTGGTTGTAATGATACTAATCATCTCCAGTATGCACATGAAAGTGGAAGCGCCGGGTCTTTGTATACGCTATGGGTCAATGTACAGATAAGGTCTTTGTATACGCCATGGGTCAATGTACAGATAAGGTCTTTGTATACGCCATGGGTCAATGTACAGATAAGGTCTTTGTATACGCTATGGGTCAATGTACAGATAAGGTCTTTGTATACGCCATGGGTCAATGTACAGATAAGGTCTTTGTATACGCCATGGGTCAATGTACAGATAAGGTCTTTGTGTACGCCATGGGTCAATGTACAGATAAGGTCTTTGTGTACGCCATGGGTCAATGTACAGATAAGGTCTTTGTATACGCCATGGGTCAATGTACAGATAAGGTCTTTGTATACGCTATGGGTCAATGTACAGATAAGGTCTTTGTGTACGCCATGGGTCAATGTACAGATAAGGTCTTTGTGTACGCCATGGGTCAATGTACAGATAAGGTCTTTGTGTACGCTATGGGTCAATGTACAGATAAGGTCTTTGTATACGCTATGGGTCAATGTACAGATAAGGTCTTTGTGTACGCCATGGGTCAATGTACAGATAAGGTCTTTGTGTACGCCATGGGTCAATGTACAGATAAGGTCTTTGTGTACGCCATGGGTCAATGTACAGATAAGGTCTTTGTGTACGCCATGGGTCAATGTACAGATAAGGTCTTTGTGTACGCCATGGGTCAATGTACAGATAAGGTCTTTGTGTACGCTATGGGTCAATGTACAGATAAGGTCTTTGTGTACGCCATGGGTCAATGTACAGATATAATGATGCTCCTCCAACACCGGCGAAGTCTTCTCCTTTTCTTGAGCGCTCAGCATCCTTGACGTACAGCGCAGGCCAATAATATCCGATTGTGTGAGCAAATTGGCAGCTGCACCAAGCACTGTGCAGCCCCAAACACTGGGCTGTATCTTGGTGATGAGATCCGTGACTAGTAGTGCCTGCTGAAAATAATGAGAAGTTCATCCAGGTGAAACAGGTGATTGGAGTCATACCTCATGTTCAAGGTCCTGTCCAATGATGCCCGCTTCAGCATGTACCGTGAGGTTCTCCTTGTCCACCCACAGCACACGATTCTACAGACACGAGGGAATGAGACATGTAGCAGAAACATAAAGAAAGGTAAGGGTTGACTCTACTCCACATCCATTTTATCAACTTTGGTCGTAGATACGTTAGCGATGCTCATTTTGTGGCAAACACCATAATTGAGGTGGGTTGCTATCACTTTCCTCCTCATCCCATTTCTCCTCAGCAGTGCTGTGTGTCCATCGAGTCTGAGTGGACCTGGGAATGGCTGATAAATAACAAGCCCAAACCTTGCGGGATTGGATCGTGCAACCTTTTGTAAATCAGATGAGCACACCAGCCACTGGACTACACCGCACACCAGAGAATGAAAAGGAGAGAGAGAGAGAGAGAGAGAGAGAGAGAGAGAGAGAGAGAGAGAGAGAGAGAGAGAGAGAGAGAGAGAGAGAGAGAGAGAGAGAGAGAGAGAGAGAGAGAGAGAGAGAGAGAGAGAGAGAGAGAGAGAGAGAGAGAGAGAGAGAGAGAGAGAGAGAGAGAGAGAGAGAGAGAGAGAGAGAGAGAGAGAGAGAGAGAGAGAGAGAGAGAGAGAGAGAGAGGGGGGGGGAGAGAGAGAGAGAGAGAGAGAGAGGTAAAGTAGAAAGTAAAAACCCATGCTCAAGCGAGATTGAAGTGCTGTGTGAATCATGGTAATGATGTACATACCATCTTGGTCATGTCAACGGAGACGATCATTCGCTTCTCATTCGTCGGGCACATCAGAGCACCAGAGACGTTGGTAGCACCTAAGCAGCACATGGCGTAAACATTAGAGGAAGTAGTTTCAGCATGGCACACACAGACTACATTCTACATGTAGAACAAGCATCTGACCAGAACATTATCCGTGGTGCTCTGACTTCAGAATAATGCTAACAGCAATATTGAACAACATACAGCTAACCCCGTGAATGACAACCTCGGATATAACAACAAGTCGCGAATGACGACACGGTCTTTAGACCTAGTGACCATTTTCACTGCATACTTTCAACAACTCACGAATAGCGGCAATAGCGGCAACTCGCGAATAACACTTTTCTGATGCACAATCAAGGGGCATTGTTGGCAAGGTTGACTGTATGTCAACAGAATGCACGTCTTCACTCTCGCCAACACTGATCATGGGTGTTCACAGAGCTGCTGACTCACCGCCACAAGGAATCAGACAAACATTGTGCTGTGCAGCGCACTCAACAATTTGCAATACGTCATCATGGTTTGCTGTAAAGCACAACACGACACCAACAAGGTGTTGAAATGGAGTGTGTATGGTGATGCGTGTACTTGCCACGGTGCAAGGAGCAATGGAAAGAGAGTTTCAGCCAAAGCCTGACAGAAAAGTATGGCACCCCCCTCCCCCACACACACTACCCCTTCAATGCTAAGCTACCCTCATATCACACACATTCATGCACGCACGCACGCACACGCATACGCTCACACACACACACACACACACACACACACACACACACACACACACACACACACACACACACACACACACACCGACACACACACACACACACACACACACACACACACACACACACGCAAACACTTGTCTTCCAGGCTGGTTACATCTGTCAGCAGTGACATCATTGCCATCACTAGAACAACACGTGAGACTGGTGTGTTTGCTAATCCTCATGCAGTTAACACAGAGCACGAAAGCAAGAACTAAAATACCAGTACAATAGGTCTACATGTCACGTAGACTTATGCAACCCAGCTGTAAGCAGTCACACAGAACTAGAACTCGCACAAGGATTAGCATTGTCCTCCAACCCATCATCCGAGAATCTGGAAATACTTACATGGCCACACAACGTAGTCCACATAACGAGACATCTTTCCATAGCACATTGCATACATCTCCTCTAGAGTATGACCTGCAGATACGGTGATCGAAAATATTTGAGAAATCATTCTGTTGCAATAACATAGGTGTAGAGAAACCACTGGTGACAGTGCACCAAGGCTGCTCTTAGTTTAGCCCCCTCAAGAAATCAGTTACCTAGAGATCCCTTCAACGGTGGAAAGTTCAAGTACCATAGATGCTGGGGTGACAACGATAGGGTGACAACGATATGATAATCAGATTTAAAAAAAGATATGACAAGGCTTAACTAAAACGGGTGTGTGTTTGGGTAACCTGGCAAACCATGTTTTCACACCCAGAAAATGGTTTCCAGTACTACAGTGAAGTCCTACTGTAGTTGCATGCATACTAAGGCATGTGCATGCATACTAAGGCATGTGCATGCAGACAGCATGCAGGTTGCTGGCATATCATGGGCTAGTGCAGAGGACAATGCCTCCGGCCACACGGGTGTTTGCAGTGCATGAACTCTGGCCAGTCGTCCCCGTACGCAAAATGCGTACGCATTTGGATCTACCGTACAATTCCTCGTGTTTTGGGCGAATCTGAGCGGTACGACGCTGTCGAATTGGGCCTGAATTTGCCCTGAACCAGCCGCTATCGAAGTAAAATTAGGTGTTTTGAAGACCACGCGGGAACACTGTGGCCATGTCTTCTTTCCTGCGTCGTTTGTTTGAAAATCGGAGTGTTTTTGAGCTCGTAGTTTCGTCTTCGTTGTGGAATGGCCGTGCGTACATTCTCCTTGGAATTACCAAAGTCACACCCCCGTTTGTTACATTACTAGGAGTTTTGCCGGCAGCCACGATAGTTTTTATCCCTGCTTCCATACATCCTTTCATTGAACAGCCAAACGAAACTTTGTGGCGCGCCTTAGTTTTTTGTGGCGCGGGGGTCTCAAGTTTGTCACTTCGAGTTGTACACAACAGCCACATCATCTCAAAGGACCAAAAAAACCAAGTGAGCAAAGTATTTCAACGTTGCGATTTTGCCTGGCCTACTGTGAAGATCGAGACTTCTACTCGGTAGCAGATACTCGTATCAATAAGCTGGGAGGGAGAGCGTGGCGTGTAAAATATTGGGATGAAAAGAGCCACATTCTCTCTCGGAAAAGGTCGTCGTTCCCACACACGTACACTTGCTCTACCCAGATCTGCAGAAGGCTAGATTTTGCATGCACGTGCGAGATTCGCATCCGCCGCGCACATAGGCAGAGTCGAAAATTTTGTACTCTCGGATTTGCCGCCATCTTGACGAGTGGCCACTGCGAAACACCCGTGGCCAGTGAGTCATGGCTTGGTACAACTTCTGCAAAAACACTCTCCGTACATTTATAGTCGCACATGCATGCAAACATCTTGAAGGAAAAAACAATCGACCTCCCGACCCGATTTGTCTTAGCCATGTTACGGGTACCACACATCTCTGGGGTTTTTTGGTTTTGCCCGCATTATAAGCATTACTTGGAAGGACCATGCATGATCCAATTTAAATAGACCTGTATCGCTATACCAGCCGTGCCGGCGTATAGACACTGGTTAAGTGTGCAAGGTCTCTGCTATACGTCAGTGTACGGTGTGTTCCAGCTAAGATCTTCTACTCCGTGAATTGTGACAGTGACCCAGTGTGATTGCCGCTTACCATGTGAATGGACAACTCGATCCATTATAGCTGATGACTGGAGAATATCCTTGACTCGCTCAGTCAGATCAGCAATGAAGGACTTGTTCAGGACTGGTGGAGCGATGTCAGCCTCGTTGGGGAGCTCCTGTAATGCAAAATCAGTGAGTGTGGGGACACAACTTCACGATACCCGTAGTACTACTGGAAACAGTCAATGTACAGACACGGATACTCGGCATTAGCTACTTTCTCACAAGTCATGTCTTTCTGACCACCCCCCCCCCCCCCCCCCCCCCCACACACACACACATACATACACTAACTTTTTTTTGACTTGTCACTCAACACGTCTACTATACCATATGAAGTTGATCATGAGACACCCGAGTTCTGATGTGTTATGTGATGTGTCTGATATGTCACTGATACATGTATACGTGTAACCTTGGCCTGAGGTTACAATTACATTCACAGGAGCGTAAACTCCCCAGCCCCCAGCCAGGCACCAGTTCCAACCATGACAAGACGTTGAGATCAAAACTGCAACTCTCAAGTCCAAAACATTCTCTCGAAGCAAAAGGAAAACCAGCATCATAACAGAGCGAGCCAACGAAAAGATACGCATGCGTGTGTGCCTGTGAGTGTGTACAAATGACGTATGCATACATGTCATGAAGTAGAGTCACATTCCTAGCTACAATCAAGAGTGGAAATATTACTACGCCAAACGGAACATGTGCAACATGTTACACCTCCCCCCTCGTTACAGAGGGAACGATAGTGACCGAAAGTTACAAAGCTTAGAGCATATCCGTGATAGCTTTCTACATGAGAAAATTAAATACTGGAAAGTGAAATAGTGTGGCGCAAGTATGGTACAAGTGTAGTTAATCGGTGTGAGGTATAATGGAAAGTTTAGAAACTACTAATGCTATGTAAGTGGACTGTGAAACAGCAAGTGAAATGCTCGACATTATTCATACTAACCTAACAACAGGTAGGACTGTGTGAAATATGTGTATTTCTGAACTAAGAATGTACAATTTCTCAATAATCACACTGTACAGTCATAGACACTCACTGAGCAAACCTTGCTGGCGGCTGAATGTTTGCACGGTTCCGCAGATCATAGTGGTGCACAACAGGCACAGGTGCATGATTCAGTGCTGCGGCTGGTGGCGGCACCGGCGCAGCAGCAATTACTGGTGCAGGTGGCGCCTGCACTGGAGCCGGGATTGGTACTGGTTGCACATTATACTCAACATCAGGCGTATAGTCGGCAATAGAAGTCGGAGGCGAGTTCGGTACGAGCTCATTGGCACTTGCAGGCAGATCAGAGCCAGTCCAAGCCTTCAGACGGTCAACGTGAACAGTCTGGGTCGTGCCGGATTTGTCAGCTATCCGAAGTACTACATCGTCAACACGTTCTAGCACAGTGTACGGGCCTTTCCAAGGTCGATGGAACTTGGAAGTCGTACCTGGTTTGACGGCAGGAGAATGCAACCGAACCATGTCACCAACGTTGAGTTTCGGTTGTTTAGCGTGCTTGTCATAGTGGGCCTTCTGCCGTCGCTGGGCTGTTGCTCCAGCATCACGGGCATGCGAGAACGCTCGTTGTAGATTGCGTCGTAAGTTGATAACATACGTGTTCACATGGGAGCGCTCAGAGTCTGGTGACTGAAACATCACATCAACTGGCAGGTGGATTTCATGACCTAACATGAGCATCGCTGGCGTCTCCTTGGTCGAGGAGTGCACACTAGACCGGTAGGCAAGCAGACAACGTTGCAGATGACGGTCCCAATTGGTGTGGTGGTCGTCGACGTGAGCAGCCAGCATTTGCTCCAGTGTGCGATTCATCCTCTCGACTAAGCCGTCACTCTGGGGCCGGTATGCTGTTGTACGTGACTTTCTGATATCCAACAACTGACAGATCTGCTGGAATAACCTCGACTCAAATTGCGCACCACGGTCAGAGTGCAGCTGGTATGGAATACCATAACGACAGAAGAAGCCGTCAACAAGGACATGTGCTATTGTTTCAGCAGTAATATTCGGTACAGGAAACGCTTCTGGCCACTTAGTGAAATAGTCACAAATGACGACTAAATACTTGTTACCGCTAGGCGTAGTAGGCAGTGGGCCCATAATATCAATAGCAACTTTCTCTAGCGGGAATGATGGGCGGTCTTGGACAAGCGGGGCTTTGGCCTTTGGTAGCGGTGCTTTGCGGCTCTCACAAATATCACATGCTTGGCAAAAATCACTAACTGCAGACGACATGAAGGGCCAATAACACCGCTTGCGAAGCTTGTCTTGTGTTCGCTCAATACCTAAGTGGCTTCCAGAGACATCAGCATGCACAGACTGAAGCATGCGGGATTGCAGAGACTGTGGTACAACAAATTGTAGGTACGGTGTGTCGCTATTCTCGGGGTGGTAAACCCGGTACAACACTCCATCAATCAGTCTAAGACGCTTCCACTGGCTCCATAATCGTATCAATGCAATAGACGCACCGTGCATGGCAGAATCACTACGCAGGGGCCTGTCAAGTAATGCCTCCTGCCAGCCGATCATTGTACTCACATCTGCATCTTCTAATTGAGCTCTGCGCAACTCTTCAACAGTGAAAGACTCACACCAATTGGGTGGCGACACTTCAGCATTGACTGTTACAGGATTACTATCAGGACTAGCGCTAGACAGGTGATTGACAACAATATTCTGCTCACCTACTCTCTGCTCGGGCGTTGGCGTCGGTGAGGTTGCGGTAGCCGGGCTGTGGTAGCGGAGTCTTGACAAGGCGTCTGCATTGACATGCTGCTTCCCGGGCCGATGTGTGACGACGTAGTCGAAGACGGCCAAACGCTCAATCCACCGGGCTAGAAGACCGTCCACTTCCCGGAACGAATGTAGCCAGATGAGCGCTTTGTGATCAGTTCGCAATGTGAACTGATTTCCAAGTAGGTAATGGCGGAAATGTGCAGTAAATGTGACAACAGCAAGCAGCTCCTTGCGTGTACTGCCCATGTTACGTTGGGATCTCGTTAATGCTTTGCTGGCATAGGCAATCACTACTTCCTCACCGTGACTATTGACTTGCGAGAGAACAGCTCCCATGGCGAGATCTGACGCATCAGTGTCCAGGATGAAGCGCTTGGCAGGATCAGGATATGTCAGAACAGGTGACTTGACTAGTCGGGACTTCAGCTCAGCAAATGCCTGTTCACACTCATCTGTCCAGTTGAAAGTGGCATTCTTCTGGGACAAACGGTTCAGGGGCTCTACAATTTCTGAGAAATGTGGCACAAAGCGGCGATAGTACGATGCGAAGCCAACAAAGCTACGCACCTCTTTCAGTGATGTTGGGGATGACCAGTCTTGAACAGCCGTGAACTTGCTTGCGTCCGGTGCCACACCCTGCTCTGAGAATAAGAATCCCAGGTACGTGACTGAGGACTGAAGCAGTGAGCACTTCTTGGGCTTGATCTTGAGGCCAGCTTGACGAAGACGACTGAATATTGTTTGCAGACGACTCATGTGTTCCTCAATCGTTGATGAGAACACGATAATGTCGTCCAAGTAGACCAGACAGATATTGGGTACTAGGTCACCAAGGACCCGGTTCATGAGGCGTTGAAAAGTTGCCGGTGCGTTACACAGGCCGAACGGCATACGGTTCCACTCGAATAATCCGAACGGTGTCACAAACGCCGACTTAGCTTTGGCAGCTTCATCTATCTCCACCTGCCAATAGCCAGCTGCGAGATCTAAGGTAGAGAAGTAGCGTGCACCAGCCATAGCGTCGATAGCATCATCCACACGAGGAAGGGGAAAGGCATCCTTCTCGGTGATACTGTTCAACTGCCGGTAGTCGATGCATAGCCGGATAGATGAGTCAGGCTTGCGTACGACAACTATCGGAGCAGCCCAAGGGCTTCTGGATGGAGATATAATCTCATGATCAAGCAGTTGATCAACGTGCTGCTTTACCTCGGCTCGTTGACTGAGAGGAATTCGGCGGGGTGGCTGTCTCTTAGGTTGATCAGATGTAGTCTGGATGTTGTGTGTTACTACATCAGTCTTCCCAAGGTCGAATTGTCCCTGCGAGATGATATCGGCATTGTCGTTGAGCACAGTAGCTATAGCAGACTGCGCTTGCGGATCGAGGTGACGTAAGTCAAATAAATCGTCTGGCTCGGAAGGTGAGCAGCTCTCTTCCTGTACTGCGTTACAGCTATGCTCGTCAACAGAGGCAGCATGCGTAGGCGAATCATTGAGATCATCGTCAATGTAAATATCAGAATCAAATTCAGCAATTTGATAATTCTTCGGGACAGTTGTGGAATGAGGAAGAAAATTTTGTAGGCGAATCCAAACACGGCCAGCAGAGTCAGGAGTAGCCACCACACGTGACATAGCAGTGCTAAACTTGGAAATAAACTTCTCTGAAGGTGAAACAAAACCAGCAGAGCTAGGTAAATGATTATCATCGGTACGCAGCTGCGCTTGAACAATGACTTGTGTATATGCTGGTACAGTAACCGAATTAGCAAGATGAACACGGCAGACTACAGGATTAGCATTATGGGTGGGCTCTAGGGGTACATCGACACCGCCTGCATCGAGCATGTTGCGACCGAAATCAATTGTGCAGCCATGAGATTGCAAGAAGTCAATGCCGATTAGCACATCGGGCATAATGTCAGCAACAATGACTCTGTGGCGTACAGCAAGCTTGCCAGTTGCTAACAATACGACAGCTTCCCCGAGCACAGGAACAGAAGAATTATTTACCGCTTTAAGAACAGTATTAACGGGTGAGATAGATAAATGAACATTACGATGAGAGAGAGACTTAGCAAAGCTGGTGCTCAACAACGTTACGCAACTGCCGGTGTCCACAAGCATGTTGGCTGGCACAGCCTCGACCGTGCCTTGGATCTGCACCGTGCTGTCGGACTGTGTTGCAAGACACGACAGAGGCAGGACGATCGAGTTGTCTGGACACTCGGCTGGAGTAGTTGTGCAGGCCTTACAAGTTGTCTCAGTAGGTAAGCAGACAGCCTCATGACACACCGAACACGGTTGACTCTGCTTACCGGTACATGGGTCCATTGGGGAGGTTGCTGACGGCGGACCCTGGTTGTCAGCGACGCTCAGTTTCCCCGACCGCGTCCACGACCCCGGTGACCACCACGGTTAGCCGGTGTGTATCTCTGGTGCGGACAGTCAGGTGCGAAATGCAGTGTGCTGTCGCACACATAGCACCGCTTGGTGTCACCATCTCCACTCCGATGCAGATTAGTTGGCCTCTCCAGCGTGAGCCTGGAGATCTTGTCTTCCAGGGCTGCCATCCTCGACAGCAGGGCGTTGAGTGTAGGGTCACTGGGCTGAGATTGCACCGCACATACAACTGGGCTAGCTGCCTGCTGCTGCTGGTCTGCCTCCAGGATGCACTGAAAATGCATAGCCCGTCGGAGTGCATCATCCAATGTTGGTGGGTCCGTGCCACGAACATGCAGGCGCAGGTCCCTGCTGTCAAGGCCGGCTACAAAGGTGTCGCGCGCCAGGGTATCCTGCACTGCTCCAGCCACCGTGGGGTACGCCCGTCTACTGAGCCTGCGGACGACTTCCGCAAAATCCGACAGGGACTCGCCACGAATTTGCCGGCGTGACTGCAGCTCTGCTCTGAACGTGGGGATGAAGTTTGCGTCGCCGAATCGCTGTTCAAACGCCTGCAGCAGCTGGTCGAATGGGCCTGTCCTCGTATGGGCTTCCAAACTTTGGAAGTAAGACAGTGCGTGGCCGGTGAGGTACAACCCAATGTACCTGCCTTGGTCTGCCGGTGTCCAGTTGTTTGCATTCGCGACGAGGCGAAAATGGCCAATCCATGATGTCCAGTCGGCGTTGCGCTCGCCAGAGAATTTCTCTGGCGTGGCCCATGCCCGCATCTGCTGTTGTTGACGTGCTGGTTGTTGCGCTGGGCCCGGTGGTGGTGGTGGAGGGGGCGGAGGAGCGCCACCTTGCTGAGCCATCTCTACACGATCAATCTTCCACAAATAATTTGGTACGCGTGCTCTCACAAGACGTGGAATTCGAATTCGCTGCCACCACGTGTAACCTTGGCCTGAGGTTACAATTACATTCACAGGAGCGTAAACTCCCCAGCCCCCAGCCAGGCACCAGTTCCAACCATGACAAGACGTTGAGATCAAAACTGCAACTCTCAAGTCCAAAACATTCTCTCGAAGCAAAAGGAAAACCAGCATCATAACAGAGCGAGCCAACGAAAAGATACGCATGCGTGTGTGCCTGTGAGTGTGTACAAATGACGTATGCATACATGTCATGAAGTAGAGTCACATTCCTAGCTACAATCAAGAGTGGAAATATTACTACGCCAAACGGAACATGTGCAACATGTTACATACGAATGGTATAGTCCAGTGTAACAGGTGTACTTCAAGGGGCCTTGAAAAGGACTGTTTAGCAGCTAACACCAGCTTCAACCCGCACATTTACTGCACCTGCACACTCATGCATGTGCTACTAGTATATGCTTACCCTTGGTGGCCGGTACATGCTCTCATCCAGACCAAGATGTTGCTCCAGGTAATCTCTCAAATGTGGCAGCTCCTGTCCACCAATAAGATACCTGCTCACGATCAGGAAATCAACCAAGCACAGACATGAACTGAGCTCATCTGGCTTCCTGGCTTAGAGGCCATTCGGATTTACCGATTTTTTAAACAAAAGCATTTCAAGCATTTACCAGCCCCTACCAATCCATCCTTTCTGCAGGTTTAACACAGAATATTCAAAAAACAAAGTATTGATACCCATTAGTTGAGGGAGTTGAAAGGAAGGGGGGGGGGAGTATTGATTTCTTTGTAAATGCATTACTGTTGGTTGCCGAAGAACGGAAGGATCAGCTTGGTCATTCTCAGTATATTTCAAATGCTACAGTCTACAGTCTATGTGCAGTTTAGTCACTGCTTATGGGATGATACTCCCGCCGACAATTGACAGTGGACCAAGAAACCCTCTTCCAAGACGAGGTTAACCCTTTTCCGTGCTGGCCCCTATTTCTCCAGCAAACTGACTTTCCAGTGCACTGACTCTGCTGGAATGGATTGAGAAGGGACAGTGTGTGGCTTGTGATAAGTTGGTGTAATGCAAGCCTCCGTGTGCGTGCTCCCTACCACTGCGATAGTGTCAAAATCACGTGAAAGATATCGTCGCTAATCAAGTGTCAAACCACTGTATAATGTAGGCAAATGTAGGTGTACGGTAGGTGTACAGTAGGTGTACGTAATTAATTGCATGTGTTTTTCAGGCTGTGCCTTGCTCTAAAGGTCATGGAGGGGGTGGTGAAGCCAGCGAAATACCCTGTCTCTTCCAGAATGCTTGGACCTCAACATGGTACAAACAATGACGGCCAGCCTGTGTGGTGTTGGAAGGATGACGTCGACATGAGCCTGCCAACGAAGTGTGGCGTCTTCAACTGGTGCGGATGACTGATTGCGCATGTCCCAGTTATTGTCCTTATGGTGTAGGGAAAGACTGGAAGCTAGTTTCAGCCCCTTACTCCAATCTATAAAGTGGGATTCACGGAAGCATTTTTGTGATGCCATTGCATCACCCTGAGTCTAAATGGTGTTCTGGCACTAGTTTTCACATGGCATCCAATCTCCAACTCTACAGCATAGAGACATCGTTATTAGAAATGGTAGAGTGGCAAACTAGTGCGTCTGATGTCACTCCATACCCATTGCATACATGCATATGATGCAACTGCTGTCATCCGCATAATCTCTAGAGAGGATAAGCTCCAACCTACCTCTTGCCATGGAACTCAATCTGGCCATTTTCATTCATCCGAAACCCTGAATCCAAGTAGCCCCATCCATTCCACTTCAGTTCTTCTTGCCTAGGGACAATACCAGAGAATCATATCAAAACAGTACAGACACGTGAGGCGATACCAGAGTATAAGGCTAAGCTACTTAAAATACAACTAGCAGTCTGCCGCTATTCTAAGGGACCAAAAAGAAGAAACTGTACATTGGACACTTATACCGTAAAGTACCGTTGATCCGCCCCCACGCCATGTCGCTTCCCAGCTGGTTTTTAGGCAGGGGGCGGGAATTAGATCAAGGCTGTGAAGTGCAGTACGATGTACAACAACGTGGAGGATCAGACTCGATGTGCAGGATTGTGCACATTTTCATCCTGGATTGGCATGTATTGTGTACAGCAATGCAAGCGTCGGTTCAACATCGTATTTCGTTGTATACGCCGACATCGCTTCACAGGTAGAAAATCGACAGGGGGCGGGATCAACGGTACTTTACGGTAACCCAAAGCTCAACATTGCAAACTAAACTCAGCAAGAGATCGTACACACAGTCTAAAACTTAGTAGAGACTATGTTCAAAGTATTTCATTGGCAACCGGAAACCTAGCGCGAACTACACACTGGAGAAAGCCTGATAAGGTGCCAGAGCTGCCTTTTGTAGCGAGAATGCATGTGTGAGCAATGACCATGCCATTGAAGCATGTCACGGGATTCAACTCTCTATGAGCATTTCCTGCGTGTAGTAGAATCCATGGAAGACTGCATGTAGCAAAACTGTATGCACCCTAGAGTAGAACCCGGGTTAAGGATCCACCTAACTCTGCGCGGACATAGCTGGACTCAGTTGTACAGGGATGGGCAAAAAGGTGTGCAAAACGACTTCTTGTGAGTAGATGGACCTTGGCAAAATAGTTTGGAGCGAAAAAAGTTACGGCTTCCTCGGAAACCGACGGGGGACCCCCCCCCCCCCCCTTGGGCCGGAAATTAAATCCCGGTATAAGGATCACCCGCACAATGTACGTGCCAAGTGACCCCCCCCCCCCCCCCCCCGGGCTCCGATTCCTAATCCGGTGTGACCCTTAACCCGGGTTCTACTCTAATGATTTTCGTAGCGGTGGTGATAGTTGTCCAGCATAGTGTCACTGTGCCCATTATGCCATTCACTGATTATCAGAATCTCTATTATAATAGCTGCTGTCTGATGATTGGTTTTTGCCATGAAACTCTGAGTAACAACAAAAAAACAGCCCTGTTTACTTCCTTTTGTGTACCTCTTGCGTATTATAATAGCTGGATCATTATCACCGGTATGCTGATCCTGAATATTTATAATACATCTACTGGTAAACTTATCACCAACTTTGTGATACTGATGCAATATTGGGGAAAGCATTTTAAACTTAGGTTACACAATAATAATATCCTGTGAAGAAACCGATAACCGCCCACATAAACAAGACATTGTGACAAGCTTATTGTAAAAGTCATTATTCTAGCGAGCCGCATATCCAACGATTTCCCAAAATTGACTGGTTTATGTGGTAGCGATCCTCACTCATTCTCAACGCTCACTAGCAACAGTATACTGTATACTAGTATTATGTATGGATTTCTGTATAACGTTTTCTATATTAATGAAAAGAGTTCTCCTCGTAATCAGTCGCACTTCGTTATATATAAGGTGGCCCCGTTGTTTCAAAGTATCACTGGCTGGGACAGTGGGAGGCGTCAATGGGCACCAAAACATAATGTCACCGCATACTTGATATGGATGTGAGTACAAAACATAATAAGATCACTCAATGCTAAATCAGCTTAATCCTATTACAGTACTGGAGTGCAAAACTATTGCTTGTACCCGTGACTGCAGTCGTGTGCCCAGTCCCCACTCCCCAGTAGATGCAATCGTGTACTGGCGCTAAAATTCGCGCTCGCACATGCACAGTGTACACACATGAAGAAAAAATTTCGTCATCACCTTTTCACCGGGAAGGCTCTCTGATCACCGGACGAGGGAGCGGATCCACGATTTCCTCGGCGAGCGTCAGTGCTCGAACAGTTTTCTGCTGACAGCGAAATGTTTCCCGCTCGCAAGTGCCCGGTAAGTACAGCCAACCTTCGTTGCGCTGCGCTGGGGTCACTCTGTCCTTCAGCCATTGCTTATCTATTTCGTCCGAACACGAGGTGAAATTGCTAGTGAAGTGATAGCGGGAGTGAAGGCCCTCGAAAGTTTCAAGTCTGTTTCAACCTGATCAAGCACTCGCTATGGCAAAGGCACTCAATCAGCCTTGTGCGCCGCGCAGTAAGTCGACAAGTAAGTAAAGACGCTCTAGTTAGGCTCTAGTTAGGCCGTATGGCTTCAGTGCCCTGATCAACCTCAACCCTACTTCCACCCATTTTTTTCATCTCTACTGTACAGTCAAATCTTGATGGGATGGCTTGTCCACAACTAGCAGCTCACGTTTTGGTCATGGGCCCATGTACATGTATGTCATGTCGCATAGCAAAGGTCGCCGGTCACGTTTCGAACTTTTCCAACAACAAAAAAAAACACCATAAAACTCTACTTGCGCTCGGTGGGACTTCCCCCGGCTCGAGCTGAGCAGCTGCAAACTAGTACTACTGAGTACTAGTACTACAGCTAAACTCCTACTACAATAGTAGTAAAGTACAGTACTCACTCAACTAACTACTTACTCAGGCAGGAGACGTCAACTGCCAAGTGAAGTAGAGATTATGTAGTAAACGAAAGTGTACTGTAACTTACTTGCGTAAAGTAAAGTTTGCACGTCCGCGTTACCACCGGCTGTACGAGAAACACAACCAGCTTAGGAAGTTTCGCATGTGCCAGGCCACCACCATGCCTGTGATACCAGGGTGGCAGATGCAGCCCCTAACGGCGAGGGGGACTTGTGTACCAGAATTTTTTCACTTTTTTCAACTTTTCTGAGTGTTTCTTGCTACCATGTACCATGACAAGGGAGCGAGATATTCTTGATTCCCTCAATATAACATAAAAATTATGTTATAACGGTCACAGTCAGCGAAGATTCTGCAGTTTACGTGATACATGTCCAGCCGCGCCTGTACAGTCACTCGGAAAAAAACAGAGCTTTGTCGGTTTGTGATGTGCGCTCTGATTTCTGAGCTAATTGCGTCCACAAGTAGAAACTAGAAAACGATGTGCCTCCACTCGATGGCCAAAAGACCAACAAATTATGTACTATTGACGTACTGTATAGCAGGACATTTTCGGACGGAATTTATTTTCGGACGATTTCGTACACGGACTCTTTTGTACTAAAATTAATTTCGTACTAAAATGTGTTCCTTTGAAGTTATGTACACTATACATGCGTACCGCATGAGAACACGTGCATTTAGCATGCAGCACTGTACGGAAATAAAATCCGTACGAAAGGTCGAAATTCGGCTTTGTCCGAAAATATTTCCGTCCGAAAATTTCCTGCTATACAGTAAGTGGCATGTGGGTACGGAGAAATGTTATGTACTAACGTACGGGGTTTATGTACTAACGAATTATGTACTAACCGATGAAATTTGTATGGAAGAGACCACGTTTCGTCCGGGACTTGAGATTTCTTATGTACTAACGGGGTTTATGTGCTAACCGGACTCGTATTAACGGGGGACGACCTGTAGTATTACCAGTACAGCCGACCCCTGATAACCATGACAACGAACACCATTGTGCAGGGCAGTACATGTAATGATGTGCTCAATGCAGTCGCGTCACTCAAGTTTGTGCCTTGCACCATTTTTCAGCCCAGTATTCGCAGGTCAAGGGCTGCGCAACGTCCGATGCGTACTGGAGTGACATGGCTGGACTGGTGACATGGCTGAACTGGGAGTTTCATCAAGTTGAGCAGCACTATAGTTCTACTTGCCAAGGTTACCGTACAAGCAACACTTTTAAATGACTGGCATGTGGCCCATGACAGCATGAGTGCACCTGGTCTGCATGCGGCCCCACAAGGTAGGCAGGTAGGCACAGTGGGTTGGTCAAAGACCATGATTGAGATATGAGAGGCATTTGGTTCAAGTTCTGCCTAGGAGCGGTTTTTCCAGCCGTGCTCAGTGCTACCCACAGTCAATTGGGAACTTGTGGCCAGGCACGGTACATGGATGCGGCTAATGGGGTTTGTCAGCACGGATGTGCTAACAGTAGATCTACTACATAATAATGAGAAGAACAAACCCCCAAGAACCAGTGAGCAGCAACATGTCTTGAAAGGCAGCATTAGATATAAGTCCCATCTTCCACGTGTGTTCGATTGATACCGGGAAATTGTGCTCAGCCAGTCAGCTAGGCCGCAGTCACTACTAGTTCTACCCAAGTAGGAATAGGATGAGGTCACTGACAGCCAGCTTGGGATAGAGAGGTTCAGTGACTCTCTTGTTTTATATGCAACGAGTCAATGGATGAGATCTGGGTTAGAGTCTCGTGACGATCTTGTAGATCGAATTTGTTTACACAAGTCCGGGCTGTTAGCTCCGAGACCCCACTATAAGGAAATATCATGGCAAAACAAGAAGTACGATCTAGAACCCGCACAGTTGTACCTGTATTTCAGTTGCCATTGTCTCGCAATGGCAATCAAAGCGCACCTTGTTCACAAGTCACGGAACTCGGGCCTCTTTTACGCATAACGCAATTAGAACACAAAACAAAATCGATTTCGTCATGTAGAAGTTTGCAGCGAGTCACTGAACTTCCCTAATAGCCCGTGAAGAACTGAGAGCTAGTTTTCTGGCTCATAGTTACGCTCGTATCGTCTTCTGTGTTGGGCTCGGCTGGTCCACAATCTATACTTGGCAGTAACTATCAGAACCATCCATGCAGACACTGGACTTAACCATGCAGGTTACACAACACTGAGACAGAGTCCGTTAACTGCTGTGTGATCTGGAACAAAGAACTTTTCCAACCTGAGTCTAGTTGTCCATCGCAGGCCTACCGTATTTCCCCGAATACATTACTTTGTACACTTGTAACCGGCACCTTTTACACCTACCTTCATGGCCAACAAAGGGGGTGCGACTTTAAGTTACAATCGAGCACGACATACTGACATACTGACATACTACTGAAGTGATTACCGGTATATTGAAACAATGTGACATCATAGTGGACTTGGAACATGGGGTCACGTGCGGCGACCTACAATCGAGTGCGACTTTGCAAACGGGGAAATACGGTACATGCTCTGTCTTCCGGCAGATGTTGCGACTGAGGTGAATGGGCAACTCGGAAGGATTTCATCCAGGACCACCGGAACTGTAGTTTTTAATTCCCGGTCCGGCACAAAGTATGAAACTCAAAGGCCGTCATACTTTGTGTATGATATAGCGGCGCCGGGGGGTAAACATAACCTCCTCACCGTTGTAAACATACGTTACCGTCCATGGCCAACACGTTGCTCCGGTGCAGACCAGGAAGTCGCCAACACGTTGCTTCGGTGTAGACCAGGAAGTCGTATCCTTCAGGAAGACGACACAAGGCCATAATACCCACTCGGAATGATGTGCGGTTCGACCCTGGGCTTTGAAGAAACTTAGTTCTCCATGCTCCATGGTGACTCGTGATCGTGATCATGACCGTGAATCAGACCTACATATAATGATATCAATCTCGGAGTCACGAAACTTGCGACCAATCACTCGGAATGCCCGGATTGAGTTATGCAAACCGTGCAGAAATCATCCATACAGTATACCCGTGTGTGGTCGTTAGTAGGGACAGCCCAGGGACAGCCCACCCTGAGCCCTGGAGTGGAAACCGGCATGCACTCGTGCATGATTGTACTTGATGATGTGTTACAATACAAGGGACGTCACGTCATTACTAGTAATACTAGTCTAGAACTAGGGACGACATAATCATTTGTAGAGGGAATGGCAGCATGCAGTAGAATCGCTCCACCGTGCACAGCCTAGCCACAGAACACACTGTCAGTGCACTGATGCCCAGAATCTAGATGACTTGGTGACGGTTCTGCTCTCATTTGATCCAACACATACAGTAGTCATCTTCATTACAAAAAGGTGTGATACCGAAAGTGAAGAACCATTCGAAGTAGTAAATAGCCGCCTGCATTGTAACTTCAGAAAAGGTTACTTATAAACCACAATATAAGTACTTCAGTAGGAACTATAGATTGAAATACTGATTGCTACACATACAGTACAGTCAGTAGTCTTCGATACAGCAAGTGACGCATGGCATCTCCCGCTTTGCGATAACCATATCGCGTAGTGCCCGTAGGCCCAAAAAGCTCATTTTTAACTCACATGGTCGTATTTTTTCATCCCTTTTCCTACAGAAAACTGGTTCTCTTTCGAATTGTCTTCCACCCCGATTGACAACTTTAGATTCCCTATCTGAATTCAAGCGTCATTTACGTATTCACATTGCTAAGTATCAGTTTGAATGCACTGGTACACCTTTGTTGTGCAATCATTGATTTACATGCTTGTTCTTTTCTTTTCTGTCTTACTTTCTTTCCTTGTGTTTCTTATTATTTCTTTTTAAATCCAACATTTCACACTCACGTTGCGCACTTTCTCTCGCATCCTTAACTATGCTACTAGTACATACACAGGAGATCCCCCACAGATAGGCGTTAGCCTTTGGGTAATCCTGAAATAAGTATATGTTATCGCATGGTTGCAAGGGCCTTATGGCATATTATTGCCCCGAGAGGTTAGCCCAAGGGCCGTAGGCCCGAGGGCTAACCTCGAGGGGCAATAATAGGGAGGTTTCGCTCTACGGAATTACGTATGAAAATAACGTATGAACTGCACGGAATTTTCATACGTAAAAATCAGAGCTGTTGGGTTTCGCTCTACGTGATTTCTCCACGACTGCTCAACATGCGTTGTTGCTTTGGAGATGCGTTGGCTGCATGCGCCCACCGTATGCACCATGAACCGAAACCGCGTTTTCCATTATATTTTGCACGTGGTGTACGGTGTGTGTACCTTGTGTTTCGCGCGGCTTGAATGTTGCCATGGACAAATGCGGAAAATGCGAAAAAATATTTCAAAAAGTCCTACGGAGGACCCAACGTAGGAAAGAGCTTTCCTACGGAAATCCGTAGAGAGATTTACGTATGAAAGTTGCCCTCGCTCCCCGGCGCGTACGACATACGGATTTTCATACGTAATTACGTAGAGCGAAACCTCCCTAATATGCCATAAGGCCCGCAGCAACCATGCGATAACAAATTTATCACATGGCCCACAGAGCAGACCATTGGGCTGCTGTTGAAATTAGCCCAAATGCCAACACATTATGACCACAATGTATATTGATGTGCTATCATTATCAAAACAGGAAAAATGAAGATATTTCTCCTACACCCTAACAAAAAGTCTGCTACAGGCCATCAGAGAGTATACAGTACTGAAAGACGGAGACAGAAAAAAAGTGCCGGCACCGCATCGTCATAGCAATAGACATGGCAACGACAATAAATACAGCAGAACCATAATTTCAGTTGAAAAATTAAGAGTGCTACCACAAAGAGTTTCTTCATGTTTACATGTGTATCAGGAAGTTGTCAGATACAGTACTGCAACAAGTGCAAGTATTTGACGACTCCCTGGTGTGTAATTCTGAGGACAATTTTTCTTCTTCTTTTTCAGCTCCAGATAGCTGTATTTTTCATTGCAAAACATTCCTGAATTGTTATGTTTGTTGTTCAAGCAAAGGTGAAGGCAGAGGACAGATGAGCCTGGTAAGAGTTTTGCGTGGCACATGAAGACCACACACAGGCAGTGACTTTGCGAGGATCTGAAAACGCACGACGCCGAGTTGAATTTGTGTTATTTCAAATAATTGTTTGTGATCACAGTACCACTTCGAGCAGAACTGAATCTTATCCAAAAGCTTACTGACGGTCAGGCTGCCAACATGACTGAACAAATGATCCCTGCAAGCACCACACGGCAGACGTCCGAGGCCACGTCCATTGCCGGGATGTCCATCTCCAAAAAGAATTCCATCTTCGTCTCAATGCTACACTGCGATTCGTCGTAGTGTCGTACATTCTACAGAGTCGTCGTAGTCACGCGAGGAAAGCTGAGATCGCCACTTTCGACCACGCGTTCACATGTCACACTGCGCCATAGTCACCATATGCCCTTCATATTCATGTTCATGTAACATCCCGTAGATTTCACGCGTACAGTCTCAGTCAGGGTTGTCACTGACGACGGGCTTTGGACGCGGGCGTTGGACTGATTTATTAGGGAGGTTTAGTTCCCACGTAACGGAAACGCGTAGACCCGGGTGCTCGAATCAGAAACGATTTGACAGGTGTGCAATTTCTCATCTGTAAATCTCAACAATGGCAGAATATACTTTTGGAGAGGCGATGGAACAGGGAAGAGAGTCTGGCTTGACCCACCCAGCAGGAATTCAGGACCTGGGTGCGCTACAACACAAGCTACAGACGCAGTAAAATTGTCGTATTTCCTTCGGATTTTTTATTTGAAAATTGGGTGCTCGAATCAGAAACAGCGAACTCGTCAGATCGTCTCCGATTCAAGCACACGGGTCTGCCATCGTCTACGCTTGGTGTGGCAGTTGAGGGCAGGGAGTAGTAACTTACTACTTCATTTTTGAGAGCAAGATGGTCAGTGGAGCCGCAGATTCAGCAGGTCTTTGGCAGCACCGTACAGGAGACCCATATCCTCGAATCAAGGACCCAGCAAAAAGTGGGTCGCGAGTATTTCAAAAAGTGTTTACCGGGCAGCGCTGAAATTTGGCATACCGTTAGCAGGCCGTATGTTGATGGTATTTGTGAAAACTAAACGAAATCGGAACAAGTTTAGGTACAATTTCAGGGTGTTTCTGTTTTGGTACCCTGTGTCTCATTCGAGCACCCGGGTCTACGTGGGTGATCCACGTAAAGTGGATGAGGGGCACCCACGTTGCAATGTTGTGTTTAGTCACACGGAACAAACAAAAGCATGAAGCGAAAGGCCCAAACCTGGTCAAAGACGAAGCTACCCGGGCCTAAGAAGCTCATCCAATATTTTGATTTCGTGCTTCGGAAACTTTTTCAGCTGAGCACCCTCACAGCTTGCACAATGCACTCCATTCTGATTTTCACCCACGTTCTGGCGGAACGTGGGTGAGCCTCCATACACGGTATGTCGTGAATCAGAAAACGTCTGTACGTGGGTCACTGAGTATCACGTGGTACACACACGTAAAGTACCCACGAATTACGTGGGACTAAACCTCCCTATTGCCCGCTCATACAGACCAGTGATTGGCCCGATCCAAGGAAACACTCACGTGACATGTGATAAAGATTATTATTAATATTATTACATGTATCTGGGCTACACTAAGTAACAATATTTACATACCGGTAGTTAAAGGGGAAGTATACCCTAAAATCAAATTTTCACCAGTTGTAGTCTTCTGGGTGCTGAGTCGAATGGTCTTGGTCCGAGGAAGCTGCGACGCTCCCTTCCTACTTGAATCCCAATCGAACTCGCGCACTTCCACCGAAACTGGGTGACTGCGCCCTACTAGATGGGGATTTGTATGCAAAATGTCACTAAAAGCGCCATTTCGTTCTTACAAAAGCACGGATGACCGCGATTGGCCCATATGTTGTAATCTTTTGGACGCTGAGTCGACTGGTTTTGGTCCGAAAAGGCTGCGATGCAGCGTTCCTCCTTTATTCCCAATCGAACATGGTTGAACAAGCGGTCACGTGCTCCTGGGTGCCCAAATCACCTGGTCACCGCGCCAGCAGGCGACAACTTTCACACCAAGGTTCAACTCGAGTTCAACTCGAGTGACAGGACTGCACCCAAAAAAGGTCAAACAGGCTAGTAAGTTGTACCCTGCAGGCACGGTGACCAGGTGACTGGTGTACGCAGGAGCACGTGACCGCTTGTTCAACCATGTTCGATTGGGAATAAAGGAGGAACGCTGCATCGCAGCCTTTTCGGACCAAAACCAGTCGACTCAGCGTCCAAAAGACTACAACATATGGGCCAATCGCGATCATCCGTGCTTTTATAAGAACGAAATGGCGCTTTTAGTGACATTTTGCATACAAATCCCCATCTAGTAGGGCGCAGTCACCCAGTTTCGGTGGAAGTGCGCGAGTTCGATTGGGATTCAAGTAGGAAGGGAGCGTCTCAGCTTCCTCGGACCAAGACCATTCGACTCAGCACCCCGAAGACTACAACTGGTGAAAATTTGATTTTAGGGTATACTTCCCCTTTAAGTTGTATATATAGCTCTCGTGTCCCTTTTTTTGTTTTGTTTTTTTTCTTCGCAAGCATGCAATGATTCGTCTCGAGCTAGCTATGCCAACGGATATGTATGTATTACTGCACAAGGACCAGTGCAATACCGGCGCGGCCGATATCTGCACGAAGAATCAATAACACACAAGCCAGAGAGCTACAAAAAACTCAGCCTACATTGTAGTACTAGTACATGACTGTACTGTAGTAGTAGTAGTAGTAGAGGGCAAGCATGTTCTCAACCTTGACAGTCGACTGGCACTAACGTCGTAACGATTCACTACTGACTACTGTCTCGTGCATTATTGCACCAACGTCGAATCATAGCCATACCGCACTTGTGCAGTCACCTTTGACGGCTTTGTGCGGGAGTCCGGTTCAGTAGATCATACCGACATACGAGTCGTAGATCTACTGCAGAGTGCAGACCCGGCGGGAGCGTCTATGCGTATTTGGGCTGTAGCTTCGTACCAAAAATAGACTGAAGACTGAAGTAATTTAGTTACAAATCTCGCTCGTATGGTTTCCAACTTCAGTGAGGAAGATCGCGATGGTGGCGAGATACCTAGACGGCGGAGGATGATGTACTTACTCCGCGTCGTGGTTTTGGGCCTCGCGTGGTTCATTTTCTCAGCTCTGTCTTCTATTTACATCAAGCGAACGATAAATGTAAGAAATTTTGATTTCATAATTATTTTGTTTTGTTTGGACGCTCTTGAGTCTTGTACTTACTCAGGTAGATCTATAATGTACTGGGAAGTTCTGTAGTGTTGTACCACTGTGACTACTTGTATAGAGATAGTACAGTCAATAGGAAATTTGGATAGCTCAAGTTAGTTTTCATCATACCTCCAGAGTTTTGTCATGGTGCTAGCGTAACGCTCGGGAGGGCAATGAATCAGGTTTGAAATAATAAAAGATGCCACGGTCATTACCCGCTGCACGTGATCAGGTTAAGTGTACAGTACGAAGATTTAAGTACATGGCTTTAGTATGACTGTGCGTACACCATGGTACACATCCCCGTTCCCATCCCAACCAGGCAGTATCCCCCATTGTGCAACGCCACCTACTTCACACATCAACGGTACGCACCGGGGCCGGCAGTGCCTCTTCCAACCTCTCTCGGCAGACTGTAATTGTGTGAACCGTTGCAATCCGTACCAAAATCATATGGTAAATCATTGGCAACGAGGGCTCCCAACGCTTTCAGCCTGTCCCGGCAACGATCCCGTATAATTTAGAGCAAAAGTGGTATATGGGCCGTGCACGCCGGTGATTGCCTGTGCCAGGACCCAAACTTTTGCCAAAATTTTGACCGAAGACTCATCCTAAAATTTCCTAAATTGAGGCTGAAGATCAGATTCCTTTGCCATTCTTGTTGTCGCTTCAAGATGGCAAATAAGGTCAGCATACCAACCCATCCTTCTGCCGCTCTACGTGACAGTTCTGCAACTCCCGACACAAATACGATTGAAAGAAATGCAATGGATGAAGTATATGATTTTATACATTGGCTAGTACTAGTAGGGCGCAAGTTCTTGTGACTTCATCAAAGTTTAAGTTACATGCATAATTTGTAGGGCCGAAACGATTGCCCATTTTCCCTTAACGATTAACCAATAACACTAACGATCGATTTATTGGTTTTACCGATTTTCCGAACAAGTTTTATACGTGTCATGTTGGACATCAGTATGCAGCAAAAACAATTAAATTTGTTCAACTATATACAGGTACGTATGGGTGAAAGATCCACACAGGCCCCAAAAAGACCAAAATGAAATTTGCAACGTGATATGAGCAGTGTTCCTCTGCCATTAAACATCAACGATCAGTCGTCTGTCTTCTACAATGGAGAAGGGTCAACTGGAATCGACAATCCAGTCGATGATCGACTCCGTCAACATGCCTGAGCGCCTGCTGCTGAGTGTCGCACGTTCGCAAGTTATCTGTGCCGAAGAACGACGTGATGGGCTTCATTCCAGCACTGTTCGTCGCATTGTCACTGCGCTCAACATTGCTGGTAGTCGCCGTTGCTGTCGACTGGGTTGCTGATCCTTTCCCTACCGCAGCGGCGTACTGGTCTTTATGAACAGAAATCAGGTGCTGGAACAAGTTGGTTGTGCCGCTTTGACGGACGAACTCGCGGCTGCACGAATTGCATCTCGCTACGCTATCAGCTTCCTCGAAATATGCCCACGCTGGCGATCTCTTGGTCAGACTAACTTTCGCTTTTCCAGGCGGCAGCATTGTCACTGCTCTCCTCGCCAAAAAATCAAAACTAACTAAGTTTTTGACAAGAACTGAACAAATTAGAAAGGGGAGGGGGAGAAGGACGGCAGCCACACTCACAGTTTCGCTACAACCTAACAGTAATGAAGCTTTCCGGTTGTTACATTTTCCGGCTACGCTGACTAGTGCAGTGAATCTAGTGACTATGTACATGATGTACGACTACCCAAAAAGGATCAAGCGCGCAATGATTGTACGGACCTACGGCTTCATGCACGTCTACTTCGACGTTCATGTACTTGTGCGCATGACGCGTGTGCATGATGCCATGCATGGTTTGCATGCACTGACGTCATGACCGCTCTCGCACTGTACAGTCATAATCGTTATCGATCATAACGATTATCGATTTCATCCATAACGAGTGATATACGAGTAATCGGTATAATCGTTTCGGCCCTAATAATTTGAATGTATAAATTTCGACACCGTCGCTTACTAGACAGCAACAAAAGTGGTAGAAGTAGTTTCATAAACCAACCCTAAAACGTTCACCTTAGTATTTTAAAGCCGAATCTAGTTTCGATTTCCCAAGATGCAATGTCATGTAATCTTCTCCTTGCAAAATCACTTGCTCTGGTTGAAAATTAATTGTCACTCTACACCTTTTGAGGAGTTTCGTTTTTTGAAGAGGCGCTGGCCGAGGATTATACCACTACTTGTACATTGCATGGGTATTGCAATCCTAATAGCTAGCTGACATCTTGGGTGGCCAGTGCTTCACTCAGATGTGACAATCTGGATTTCACTGCCAAGTATTATGATGTATTGGCAAGTGTGTGACGTGGTAACTGAGTATGGTTCTGTGTGCGTGGGTTGGTTGGTTGGTTGGTATACATTACTTGCAAGTATGTTATTTGAAACGACTACTGTAAGAGTTGAATCTCTAACGGGGCACAAAGTGTAGCGTTTTAACCGAGAAAGAATCCATCATTAACTCAGGAAATGTTGCATGTATGCTATTCCTCCTCTTCTGTACTAGAGAAACAGAAGACAGGTGTGTGATGGCGGGGTTCTTAAACTAGAGAAACAGAAGACAGGTGTGTGATGGCAAGGTTCTTAAACTAGAGAAACAGAAGACAGGTGTGTGATGGCAGGGTTGTTAAACTCTGCACCTGCCAAGTGGGACATTTTGCAAATCGTCTCACTTTCAACTCTTACAGTATGTTGCTGTGTGTGTTGGAATGACAGCACAGCTAATTATTTTCATAGCTTTACTTTATTTGACTGTGCTAAAATGGACAGGCAGTGCTGCCTTCTTGCATGGGCAAGTGAATTTTCCTAGCTCTCACAGAACGACGCAGAAAGGAAAGACAAATTATATGAGCTTGTGAGCAAAAGAGATACTGTAGATACAGAGAGAGGAAGAGAGAGAGAGAGAGAGAGAGAGAGAGAGAGAGAGAGAGAGAGAGAGAGAGAGAGAGATGGGCCGGAATTTTTGATTGCATGTGTGTGTATGTGTGTGTGTGTGTGTCACCACAGATCTTGCCCGCAGTGGCAAAGCTGACCTTGCTGGAGTTTGCCGTCGGGGCGGTGATGACATGGCTGTATCTGGTGTTGTTAAGACGGGAGATACGTGTCACTCCGACTATTATCAAATCGTTTGTGCCGGTCAGTATTGCCTACGCACTGGGTCATATTCTTACCAACTATAGTTTTGGTGCAACGTCCCTAGCCTTCGCGCACACTGTCAAGGTGAGATTTACAGATGTTTTGGTTGTAAAATTATGGTGCAATAATGGATGTGTGATTCTGTTTGGAATGGTTGGCATTCAACTGCATGCAAACGAACTGAAAGAAATTTTTTATGACGGTGTGACCCAACATGCGTCCTCGTCTAATAGTTGGCATGTCTGCAATTTCCTACATTGTGACAACACATACATTTCATCAAGTTGCTTGGGATTGTGTAGAACACGGGTCGGAGATGCATTCTGGATCTACTATTTTCTCCAGTTTCCGTTCGTTCTATGTGGGGAGGGGGGGGGGGGGGGGGTGGAACCTTTTCTGTAATAATGTGACAGCAAAACATGTTGACCCAAAGGCCCATTAGCTTGGATCGTTCGCTCGAAGTAGATTTTGTTGAAGGAGGATGACATTTCCAACTTTGTTCTGAGGTCCGAATCGATCAAATTCAGCAATTCTTTTGTTATATTATTACCTTCAAGTTCACTAATTTTGTGTATCGAATTGTGATGTGGAGGTAGCTACAAATCGAATTAGTATGGAATCGACTTGAAGTTTTTCATTTCCCTGGCTGTAAAATCTTTCTCCCTTTCGCTGGGGGAGTCCTGTGAGGCCAGATTCTGGCAGTGAGCAAGTATGTATGTGCATATGTACGTGTGTGTTTGTGCGTGCATGCGTGTGTGTGTGTATGTGTGCGTATATGTGTGTGTGTGTGCGTGTGTGTATGTATGTGTGTCTTTGCTTGTGATGTTTTGACGTAATGTAAACTACTCCTGCTAGGCACTTGAACCATTCGTGGCGGTGATTCTGCAGCGCATTCTCGGAGACTCGGCAGCTCATTCCAAGCTCATGTATCTCTCGTTCATCCCGATATCAGCTGGCATAGGACTTGCATCAACTGGCAGCATGAAATTCACGTGGCGTGGTGAGTAGGCTTCAACTCCAGTGATGCACAGCTCTGCATATGTGTCCGCCGTCTAATTTGTTTAGGCCCCATCAGTCTCGCAATAATGCCTGCACACATGCAGTACGCACACTCTTCTCCTGCATCCCACCCTTGTACCGTGTGCATGACATACATTGTATGTTGGATAGGGTATTCTGAATTCTATCAGGAGCCAATTGTGGAGGTTAAAAGTAACATTTATCTACTCTATTCATAGGTTGAGGGACCTGTAGAACTTTACTTGAGAAACTAATATAATTTATTCTAGAAGATGACGCAGACAAAAGACAGTGTGCCTTCAATGAAAGAAACCAAGGATAGCATGGAGGCGAACAAACAATAAAGTATGCGCAGAAGACGCGCCCAATGTCCGGTATCTGGTAGATAGTGGAGATTGTTCATCATGAACTCATGCAGTTCACGACACTTCCCACCCAAAGAAAGGACAAGCGAATGCAACATTCACAAATGTACTTCAAAAAGTGAGACATGGCATCAGACACTGTCGAGCATGATTCACAAAAAAACGTGCACATACACACGATTAAAGTGAAGAAAGAAGGACCAAAGGTTTACAAGTTATCCGTTGTTTGTGTCCAAACACTAACAAATATAAGCAAGATACCGGTGAGTCAGCACGTGCAACAATTAGCACAACACTGACTGATGTGATACTGACATTCAACGACCTGATGCTTAGCACACAACAACGGATAACTTGTAAACCGTTGGTCCTTCTTTTTCCGTTTTAATCCTTGGCTCTCAATCCGAGTCTTATACACACGATTCACAGTCTTTTTAGTTTCTGTGCATAATACATGAACGTGCACTGCACTTGCAGCCAACATAGAAAACTGCATTCCTTTGATATGATTGTGTTTCATACCACAAATGTTGAGCTTTTAGTCAGCTTCTCAGACAGTGGCATCGTACCTTTTTAATTAGCCATTACAGTCCAAAAAAAATGTGTGCCCATATGCGTATCATGACCTTGACATGCGTATGAGTCATAAGCTCTTTGTTATACTGCTGTGGCCTGGGGTCTGCTTCTCTTTGTTGTTTTACAGGATTCTTTCTGGCCATGGCGTCAAACCTTTGCTTTGGCACGCGCAATGTACTGTCGAAGAAGACCAGCACCAGTTCAGGCGTGGACGTTATCGACTGCTTTCTGATTCTGAGTATCTTGGGCACTGTGTACACCATCCCCCTGTGGCTACTGTGCGAATACTTGTACGGAGACTGGATGAACACTCAGATCCAGGACATGTCGCCAGAGTCCGCTGTAGACTTTCTGCTCAGCGCCGGTATTGGTGTAGTAGCTCACTGGATATATAACCAAGTAAGCCAGCGTATAGCGAACCGCATGGGCTCGTGTGCTGCGCGTGTGTGTGCGCTACGTGTGTGTGTTGGGAGGGGCGGGGGTATTGTGTTTTTTTATGGAAGATTTAGCAGCTTTTAGAACAAGAACAAAACAAGTCGCTGACGAGTTTATCCCAAGTCAAACTGTTTGCGCACTAGCTGTACGACTTGATAAACTTCTCTAACGCGAAAATTATTGTTTCAAATTGCTTGTATTAAAGTCTTTTCCGCGGGAAAGGATTTCTTTGCAAATGAGTTTTGATGAACTTGATGTGCATGTGCCTGACCTCATGTGCCTGACCTCATGTTGTATGTTCATGTTGATGTATGGTTGTAATGTATCCTTTCAGGCCTCGTTCAACTTTCTTTTCTTAACCAGCCCTATTACTCACTCCGTGGCCAATGCTGCAAGGTATGTAGGCAATACTGGGAGAGTGTCGTTTTTTGGGCTTTTAACTTAACATGCTGATAAGTTGGAAGTCACGGTGACAGAGTTTGCCCCTGATTCTAAGGCTTCGTTGCAGTATTGTAATATGCATTCCTATGGTGTTAGGCAATTGGGGGAATTCCATTTTAAGTAGCAGGAAGGAATAGTGCTGAAAACTTCCTGACGCTTCAGTGGAAACTACTCTGGATATAACATATAATTCACTTGTAGGATATTGACCAAGACGAGATGTACAGCGCTGCTCAATGAAATCCAGTCGCGTCACTCATGTACGCGCTGGGCGTTGCGCAGCCCTAGACCTGCGAACAATGGATTTCAAAATGGTGCAAGGCGCAAACTTGAGTGCCGCGACTGGACTTCATTGAGCAGGACTGTATGTGTGAAGTGGAGGCCCAGCAAAAGACAGAGGTCCACCAAGGCCTTTTATCCGCAGAACGGCACATGTTATCATGAAGAGAAAATCCGTTCCAAGACGCTACATTGTCAGAATGGCATAAACAGGGTCTACCGCGCTTGCGAGAACCCTCCATCAAGCAAAAAAAAAAAAAAAAAAAAAACCGGACTCCCAAGTGAATCAGTCCACGGCATTTTTAAAAGCAATCTGTGATATCCACATCTCGGGTTACTGGATACGTTGGACCTTCATTAGCCGCAACTTCAACTTGTGTGAAACGTTGCTATCTTTCCACAAAGGTGTTATGTCTAGCATCTTTCTCTTAGTGATAGCAATGTGTACAAGATCAACAACCTCTACAACCTCGTGAGAATAAAAGATTTTTTCAACAACCTCACAATTTGCTAGACATCATTTTGCCAAGAAATTGTGTGATAAAAAGGGCCTTTTGTGAACCAATCGCTATTGCCTTAGGGCGCTGGGTTGATGGAATTGGACAATAAATCTCCCGATAGCTGAATAACCTCACCATCCACAACAGCCTTGAACTGGAGATCCCTTTGTTCAGCCGTGAGACGCCACCCCGCAAACAGAAATGCAGGATGAGAATCAGCCAAACATATTATTATTATTATTATTATTATTATTTGAAAGTAGGACGGAGGCAGAAAATATTACAAAAAATGTATTATCTACGCATGCATCTACGCAAGAGTCACCACCAGCCAATTAGGACATGTGTCACAGTATTGAACGTTTTCGTTCCCTTCTTGTCAAAATACTACAGGGAATGATGGAAATAAGCCAAAAGACTACAACTATAAGGAAAAGAAGTTCAGAAATATATCACTCCAATTATGTGTAGAAGTGACACGAAAAAAAAATATAATGAATCAAGAAAACAGCATGCAAATCCAGTAAGTGACAAAAACGTAGTGACAAGAAAAAGAGAGAAATATCAAGAGATCTATTTCGCACCTTCACGACGAACAGTGCCAAACAACTGCAAAGACAACACATTCTCCTTCTGAACACAAAGCTCAGGGTCTAACTTACGTATGTACAAAGCTTCCAACACGGCAAGATGTAACAAAGACCTACCACGCGACAGAACAGAGAATACATCATCGGAATACCACTCACGACAACTAGCACTGCCCGACAGGTGACACTTGATTGCCGAGGTACCGTTTCCCTGACCCGACGACTTGGCCGTTGTCACCTCCGATATTGCCGCTTGCGAATCTCTCCCATTACGCCCTGCGTCCCTGCAATTCCGATTGCCTCGGTCGAGATCAGTGTGCTGCCCCACGTCCAGTCTGTCCTGCTTCCGTGGTCTACCTCGTTTCTTCACATTAACCGTTGTTGTCACTTCCAGTATTGGTTCTTTTGATTCGTCATCAATTCGTCTCCTCAATTGATTTCTGGTGACTCGTCCGGGGCTCGATTGTCCAGATGTCAGTTTCGGTGGTTTCCGTATAGGTCTCTTCTTCTTGTTGACTGTTGTTTGGGCTGGCTCCAGCCCTCCGCCCGACGAAAAGGAGGAGGCGTCGGCAAGCGTATCCACAGCGGACTTGGACAAGTCCACGTCAGACATGGACTGCACTGGACACTTCGGTGGACAAACACGCCGAGGTCGAGAACCACGTGCAGCTACAGAGACAAGATTCAACGGTACATGTTGACGAATCCGTGCGCCCAGGTGCTGAAAGGTTCTACCTACGTACCGATTTTCACAATTTCGGCACTGAAAGAAATAGATTAAATTACTTTTGCTTAGGGTAGGTAGAACGTCCTTCTTCACGCTGAACGCACGGGTCGTCCCAAAGATGACATACAATTTGACACACGGATAAGAGGAACAAACAATATTCCGCACCTCCTTCTCGACGCGCGAAGAACCGGCACCAACCCATGGCAACCGTAGTACCACAGGGCATCTCTCTGGTCCAAAAGTAATCGTCTTTTCCAAGGTCGGTTTCTGGTTGATGAGTTTCATTAAAAGTGTCTTTGGATAGCCATTCTTTGTCATTATGGTTAAGATTCGTTCTAGTTCCTCGTCCAGCAGATGAGGGGAACATATCCTATGTGCACGGTAGACAAGGGCCTTGACGAGGTGTGTTTTGGACTTAGTTGGAGTAAAACTTGACCATGGGATATACAAGCCTGTGAAAGTGGGCTTTCTATAAATTGTCGTGTCCATGTTGTGCGTATCCATGTTACGAGAAATACTAACATCCAGGAAAGAAAGTGTACCATTGTTTTCACCATCTGACGTGAATTTTAATGCTGGATGTAAGGAGTTGAGAGTTTCCATAAACCTATCACAGGTTTCCTTGTCGTCGTCGTGACAATACACATCATCAACAAAACGACAGTACATTGATGGCCAAAGTGAAGGGTCAATAGACGACTCGCAGAAGCCAACAAATATGTTCGCCAAGACTGGTCCCAAAGGCGATCCCATGGCGACTCCATCATTCTGTTTGTACATTATATTGTCGAATGAAAACTCCACACCAGACGTGACCATGAACATAAGTTTCACGAACTCTGTTTCATTCAAATCTGGGGGAGTGATAGATCTGTTATGGTATAACGCCATGGCGCAAATGTCTATTGTTTCTCGCTTGTTTACTTGTTTACCAACGTTCCTTTACGAGAAACAATAGACATTTGCGCCATGGCGTTATACCATAACAGATCTATCACTCCCCCAGATTTGAATGAAACAGAGTTCGTGAAACTTAGGGCCGGGTTCCACTGCGGCTCCGCGGCACTTGGCTGCATGCAGCGGAGCAGCGCGGTTCCACTGACACTCGCCATTGGCGGTACCGCGGTCGTGGTCCACACTTTTTGATGACGTTTCACCTGCCTGCGCGCCCGAAATCAAAAAAATCCTCGTGTTCTGGCCTGCGCAACGAAATAAATTTTGAATTTTAAAATTCTGGCGTCCGAAACAATGCAAAGTACGGGAAACAGGTCGAGCCGCGACCGCGGCTCGCAGTTTTTGGTCAAGAATCGTAGCAAAAGCTCGCGGTGAGCCGCGGCCTCGCTGCTCCAGCTCCAGCCGCGGTCACTATGGTAATGATGACGTTTCAAGCCGCGAAAGACGAGCAGCGGAGCAGCGGAGCCGCAGTGGAACCCGGCCCTTATGTTCATGGTCACGTCTGGTGTGGAGTTTTCATTCGACAATATAATGTACAAACAGAATGATGGAGTCGCCATGGGATCGCCTTTGGGACCAGTCTTGGCGAACATATTTGTTGGCTTCTGCGAGTCGTCTATTGACCCTTCACTTTGGCCATCAATGTACTGTCGTTTTGTTGATGATGTGTATTGTCACGACGACGACAAGGAAACCTGTGATAGGTTTATGGAAACTCTCAACTCCTTACATCCAGCATTAAAATTCACATCAGATGGTTAAAACAATGGTACACTTTCTTTCCTGGATGTTAGTATTTCTCGTAACATGGATACGCACAACATGGACACGACAATTTATAGAAAGCCCACTTTCACAGGCTTGTATATCCCATGGTCAAGTTTTACTCCAACTAAGTCCAAAACACACCTCGTCAAGGCCCTTGTCTACCGTGCACATAGGATATGTTCCCCTCATCTGCTGGACGAGGAACTAGAACGAATCTTAACCATAATGACAAAGAATGGCTATCCAAAGACACTTTTAATGAAACTCATCAACCAGAAACCGACCTTGGAAAAGACGATTACTTTTGGACCAGAGAGATGCCCTGTGGTACTACGTTTGCCATGGGTTGGTGCCGGTTCTTCGCGCGTCGAGAAGGAGGTGCGGAATATTGTTTGTTCCTCTTATCCGTGTGTCAAATTGTATGTCATCTTTGGGACGACCCGTGCGTTCAGCGTGAAGAAGGACGTTCTACCTACCCTAAGCAAAAGTAATTTAATCTATTTCTTTCAGTGCCGAAATTGTGAAAATCGGTACGTAGGTAGAACCTTTCAGCACCTGGGCGCACGGATTCGTCAACATGTACCGTTGAATCTTGTCCCTGTAGCTGCACGTGGTTCTCGACCTCGGCGTGGTCGTCCACCGAAGTGTCCAGTGCAGTCCATGTCTGACGTGGACTTGTCCAAGTCCGCTGTGGATACGCTTGCCGACGCCTCCTCCTTTTCGTCGGGCGGAGGGCTGGAGCCAGCCCAAACAACAGTCAACAAGAAGAAGAGACCTATACGGAAACCACCGAAACTGACATCTGGACAATCGAGCCCCGGACGAGTCACCAGAAGTCAATTGAGGAGACGAATTGATGACGAATCAAAAGAACCAATACTGGAAGTGACAACAACGGTTAATGTGAAGAAACGAGGTAGACCACGGAAGCAGGACAGACTGGACGTGGGGCAGCACACTGATCTCGACCGAGGCAATCGGAATTGCAGGGACGCAGGGCGTAATGGGAGAGATTCGCAAGCGGCAATATCGGAGGTGACAACGGCCAAGTCGTCGGGTCAGGGAAACGGTACCTCGGCAATCAAGTGTCACCTGTCGGGCAGTGCTAGTTGTCGTGAGTGGTATTCCGATGATGTATTCTCTGTTTTGTCGCGTGGTAGGTCTTTGTTACATCTTGCCGTGTTGGAAGCTTTGTACATACGTAAGTTAGACCCTGAGCTTTGTGTTCAGAAGGAGAATGTGTTGTCTTTGCAGTTGTTTGGCACTGTTCGTCGTGAAGGTGCGAAATAGATCTCTTGATATTTCTCTCTTTTTCTTGTCACTACGTTTTTGTCACTTACTGGATTTGCATGCTGTTTTCTTGATTCATTATATTTTTTTTTCGTGTCACTTCTACACATAATTGGAGTGATATATTTCTGAACTTCTTTTCCTTATAGTTGTAGTCTTTTGGCTTATTTCCATCATTCCCTGTAGTATTTTGACAAGAAGGGAACGAAAACGTTCAATACTGTGACACATGTCCTAATTGGCTGGTGGTGACTCTTGCGTAGATGCATGCGTAGATAATACATTTTTTGTATTATTATTATTATTATTACAAAAAATGTATTATCTACGCATGCATCTACGCAAGAGTCACCACCAGCCAATTAGGACATGTGTCACAGTATTGAACGTTTTCGTTCCCTTCTTGTCAAAATACTACAGGGAATGATGGAAATAAGCTAAAAGACTACAACTATAAGGAAAAGAAGTTCAGAAATATATCACTCCAATTATGTGTAGAAGTGACACGAAAAAAAAATATAATGAATCAAGAAAACAGCATGCAAATCCAGTAAGTGACAAAAACGTAGTGACAAGAAAAAGAGAGAAATATCAAGAGATCTATTTCGCACCTTCACGACGAACAGTGCCAAACAACTGCAAAGACAACACATTCTCCTTCTGAACACAAAGCTCAGGGTCTAACTTACGTATGTACAAAGCTTCCAACACGGCAAGATGTAACAAAGACCTACCACGCGACAAAACAGAGAATACATCATCGGAATACCACTCACGACAACTAGCACTGCCCGACAGGTGACACTTGATTGCCGAGGTACCGTTTCCCTGACCCGACGACTTGGCCGTTGTCACCTCCGATATTGCCGCTTGCTAATCTCTCCCATTACGCCCTGCGTCCCTGCAATTCCGATTGCCTCGGTCGAGATCAGTGTGCTGCCCCACGTCCAGTCTGTCCTGCTTCCGTGGTCTACCTCGTTTCTTCACATTAACCGTTGTTGTCACTTCCAGTATTGGTTCTTTTGATTCGTCAACAATTCGTCTCCTCAATTGACTTCTGGTGACTCGTCCGGGGCTCGATTGTCCAGATGTCAGTTTCGGTGGTTTCCGTATAGGTCTCTTCTTCTTGTTGACTGTTGTTTGGGCTGGCTCCAGCCCTCCGCCCGACGAAAAGGAGGAGGCGTCGGCAAGCGTATCCACAGCGGACTTGGACAAGTCCACCTCAGACATGGACTGCACTGGACACTTCGGTGGACGACCACGCCGAGGTCGAGAACCACGTGCAGCTACAGGGACAAGATTCAACGGTACATGTTGACGGTACATGTCTGGACAATCGAGCCCCGGACGAGTCACCAGAAGTCAATTGAGGAGACGAATTGTTGACGAATCAAAAGAACCAATACTGGAAGTGACAACAACGGTTAATGTGAAGAAACGAGGTAGACCACGGAAGCAGGACAGACTGGACGTGGGGCAGCACACTGATCTCGACCGAGGCAATCGGAATTGCAGGGACGCAGGGCGTAATGGGAGAGATTCGCAAGCGGCAATATCGGAGGTGACAACGGCCAAGTCGTCGGGTCAGGGAAACGGTACCTCGGCAATCAAGTGTCACCTGTCGGGCAGTGCTAGTTGTCGTGAGTGGTATTCCGATGATGTATTCTCTGTTTTGTCGCGTGGTAGGTCTTTGTTACATCTTGCCGTGTTGGAAGCTTTGTACATACGTAAGTTAGACCCTGAGCTTTGTGTTCAGAAGGAGAATGTGTTGTCTTTGCAGTTGTTTGGCACTGTTCGTCGTGAAGGTGCGAAATAGATCTCTTGATATTTCTCTCTTTTTCTTGTCACTACGTTTTTGTCACTTACTGGATTTGCATGCTGTTTTCTTGATTCATTATTTTTTTTTTCGTGTCACTTCTACACATAATTGGAGTGATATATTTCTGAACTTCTTTTCCTTATAGTTGTAGTCTTTTAGCTTATTTCCATCATTCCCTGTAGTATTTTGACAAGAAGGGAACGAAAACGTTCAATACTGTGACACATGTCCTAATTGGCTGGTGGTGACTCTTGCGTAGATGCATGCGTAGATAATACATTTTTTGTAATATTTTCTGCCTCCGTCCTACTTTCAAATTATTATTATTATTATTATTATTATTATTATTATTATTATTATACGCATTCCCGCGTTGAAGTGTAGCAGCAGTATGCTGCGTCCACAGCTTCGCTTATGCAGAATGGCTTGGGTGAGAGGAGAGGGGAGAGAAAGCAACAAGGCAACCAACATCTATGAAATTGGTCACAATAACATGAAGAGAACCAACCTACATATGTATCACAGTAGTATTACTAGTAAAGCATGCACTCCTCCAAGTTTGAAAAGCGAAGTTTTGGAAGGCTGGTTTCGCTCTTTTAGAATGCACAGTGGCCTATAGTAAGGGGTGCGGAATGATGACGACCAATAAGATGTTGACCGAGACTTGGTCTATATTGGCAATAGAGTATGTATCGGCTGAGTAAAAGACCGAGCCATCAATGGGCTATACTTGTAAAGCACCATTTTTCAAGGACGACCCTGAATTAGACTATACATGTACCAGTCATTTCCGCACTGATATAGAGTACCTGGGTTATGAAGGACAGGCCCGTTAACACTGTGCTGAAAATCGGAACCTACCGGAAAAGAAAGTGCGATATGTGATGGCAGTATGAGTTGGCCATGAGCGGCAGTGCTATTATACATCTTGTTCTGCGTGTGGATTTTCTTACGATGCAAGTCTGCACTCTGTCTACCCTTTCTCTATGTGCCTGTGCAGGCGCTTGTTCTTGATTGTGGCAGCACTGCTGTATTTCTCTCACTCTGTCAGTGGTCGAGCAGGCATGGGCGTGTCCTTGACTCTATGTAAGTGTATCTGGATATACTGCCCTGAGTTCATGTGTGTAAATGATCGGTGACAATGTGCTGGCAGTTGTTTTAGCACGGCACAGCATGGCTGTAAATGTGCAGTGGATTGAGTGGATTGAGTGGATCACATACCTGCCACCCATACCGATTTGACCGGGACCGTCCCGATATCCAGGGTGGTAATAGGACATATGCACCCAAAAGTGCATTTGTCGCTTGCCTCACAGCTACATTTGTATACATTTTCAATTTTTCATACCTAGGTACTGTATGTCATTATCCTGATCTCAGGTTTGCAACGGTTGGCGGGTATGGGAAAATCATCATTGCACTGGGCGTTATTTCTTGTTACTTCTCAACTTGGACAGTACTGATAGTGCCACCTTTTTTCATCCCCAGCGTTGCCGTGTGCACGCAGCCTTAGGGGCCGTTTACGTGAGAAAAACAAGCCCGGGCTTGTTCAACCCTAGGATTACGATAAGCCCGCCTTCATATGTCACCCAGTCATTTTAGAGCGCGCGCTTACATGGTATGGCGGGCTTATTCTAGCCCTGCCCTTGACCCCCGAGCTTATCGAACCCCACGGCTTATTCTCTCTTGTAAACGGTCAAGAAAACAAGCCCTGGGCTTATAGGCGAGTTTTTCCGTATTTTCAATGTTTGCCTCGTGAACCCGAGAGGATTTCGTCGTGGACATTGCGTCTCTTTTGCTTCTCTTCGCAATTTTTCTGCTGATTATTCGTTCAGTGAAAGCGTCGCCTTTTCGAAAATAAGGGACAATCGGAAAGGCAGTAGAAGCGTGAGCAGGCACTTCTTGATCCAAATTTCATCGTTCACGAACATTTACCACTGTGCTTATGTGTGATTTGAAAAATAAAGTGCGCGCAAAACTCGCAGTCACCCACCTGAACTCTGCCCCAAACAACAGTCATGTAAACAGTTGAAATAAGCCCAAGGCGAATAAGCCCGAACTTTTTTTCTTATACGCGGCCCCTTAGTTAGATGTGTAACTCCTTTCACTGGGATGAATTGTGAAAGTCACCGTGCATGGTGTCAACTGTTTATTCTCTTGTAAACGGTCAAGAAAACAAGCCCTGGGCTTATAGGCGAGTTTTTCCGTATTTTTCAATGTTTGCCTCGTGAACCCGAGAGGATTTCGTCGTGGACATTGCGTCTCTTTTGCTTCTCTTCGCAATTTTTCTTCTGATTATTCGTTCAGTGAAAGCGTCGTCTTTTCGAAAATAAGGGACAATCGGAAAGGCAGTAGAAGCGTGAGCAGGCACTTCTTGATCCAAATTTCATCGTTCACGAACATTTACCACTGTGCTTATGTGTGATTTGAAAAATAAAGTGCGCGCAAAACTCGCAGTCACCCACCTGAACTCAGCCCCAAACAACAGTCATGTAAACGGTTGAAATAAGCCCAAGGCGAATAAGCCCGAACTTTTTTTCTTATACGCAGCCCCTTAGTTAGATGTGTAACTCCTTTCACTGGGATGAATTGTGAAAGTCACCATGCATGGTGTCAACTGTTCGCCTGGTGGTTGTGGGTTGTTCATTCCTCACGGCTTGTATTAGTGTACAAGTACATCCCGTCATGCACTTTGCACACAATGTTGGCACTCGCAGGTGGCATGTCGCGGTTAGAGCTATCACAGATTCCCATTGTATCATACATTCTTGTGGCATCCTCTAAACTACGTCTGTTGCCCGTACCGTGAAGTGTCACGAGAGCGCCCCACCATCGTCACCCACCTGTGGCCGTGTTTTGAACGTGGGGTCCTGTCTGTAGGTCATGCGAGGCGTACCTTGTACATACATGCATTGCACTTTCTGCCGTGACTGGCTGATTTTGACAGTATGGGGCTCATTGAAAAGCTCTCGGAAAGAGGATTACAATGAACTCCAACACACAAAGAGCGTGTTTAGTTTGAGGTACATATTATTCGAGAGATAGAGATAGATAGGTAGAGAGAGAGAGAGAGGGGGGGGGGGGGACATTGTCCATAGTAGGAAATTACCCAAACTCGAAACCCGAAGAAAACTTCAGCTGACACAGCCCTACTTGGTGATGCTGTTTTTCCAATGCCCAAAATAGTACACACCTGTTTATTAATATCGGTGTACTGCAAGTGTGCGAGTGTTTTTGGTTGAGCTTTACAATGACACACTAAACTAACCTGAAGTGAAACAGAATCAGGTCTTTCTCTTGCTCAAAGCGGATTCATGCAAGAGCAGTCACCTTCCTGACGTCTCCTGCCGGTTGGGCCAACTGGCTGCCAGCTGTGCTTATTCTCACGCTTCAAGTAGCTGAGTGAGTTGTGTTGTGTTGCGGTTACTGCTGCTGCTGCTGCTGCTGCTGCTGCTCAGGTGGTATCATGGTGTACAGTTATGCTGTAGCACGGCAGAGGGAACGCGTCACATTGCCTCACACTGTGCAGAGAACATAGCATAACCATTGCCTGTCTCACTTTGCTGCCATGCTCATATAGTGCATGGTGGGATGACGGGCGCTATCTTAACCCCTCAGATTCTATCATCATTGTACTATCCATCGTGTTTATACAACGGTTTACAATCTCCGGCTGTCTTTAAGTTTCATTGGCCGTCTTTAAGTTTCATTGACAAGACCTAATTGTTGTATTTATGGCCTTGAGTGCTATACAGACTTCACAATAGAAGTAGGTGACTTGCTCCTACAGTTTCCAGACTTCTCGCGGAGTACGTCTCTAACTCGCTACTCGCTGACTGTGGCTATATGCTTCAGTTTTTCCCGCTGTGCGCTTTTTGTTTTTTGCTTATATTGCTTTCCCGTTTGTGTTTTGTGTGTGTCAAAATGTGCATATGCACAGTAATTGGTTGGGATTATCGCAGACTGCTGGCCAGCTGTATGAGGACGGTACATTGCACTGGCTATCCTGAATTTTTATCATATTTCGCTTATTCTCTGTTGAACTGCTGTCTACTTCTGTGCTGGTCATACCTGCGTGATTGCGTGATGCTTTATCTGTACGTATAATACAGAAGGATGCATTCATGCAGTCACAATGTGCTGGCTAGCCTTGTCCCACTGCTGTGCTGTTTAGGTGTATACAATGTCATGTAAATAGTATAGGTCTCCATTGAGTGTTTGCATTGCCACATGCACTTGTGTAATAAACCAGGACCAAGCCTATATTCATGCTACCATGTTCCAAGTCAACTCGAAATGTACAAATTTCGAAATTCGATCGGGAGCCTAAGAAAAGCTGAGCATTACAGCCTAGCTCTTCGCAGCAGACCATCACTCCCTAGCTCTTTGGAGCAACTTAGCGCCCGGGAAAACTGCACCTGCAGAATGATGTGCTTCAGTTTTGATATACTGTAAAACCGGGAATTTTCGGTGGTGTGATATTTTCAGTATTTCCCAAAATCAACGGTTCGGTAGCGCGAAAATTTCGGTAAACCAGTTTTCCAGATCCAAAAAAATGCATTTTGCACACTGCGTGGCATGGCATTGTTGAATTTTGGTCGCGTTTTATTTTAGATGAAAATTACCTATACTGAAGTTACCGAAGGCACAGTGGGTTGGTCTAAGACCATGATTGAGAAACGAGAGGTACCAGGTTCAAGTCCTGCTTGGAAGCGGAAGGATTTTTTCCAACCGTGCTGCGACCCACAGTTAATTGGGAACTCGTGGCCTGGCATGAGTAATACATGGATGTGGCAAAATGGGATTGAGGCCTTTGGCCTCTGGTTGGTGGATCTGATCTATCCTCCCCCACCGTTTAGGAGCCGCATCTGACGCCTGATCATGGGGTGGTGGCGTCCCACGGAAGCGGAAAGGTGGTTCTTGACCAGGGAGTTGTAAGTTGTACGGCTCCTTGTTCTTGACCTGCCCGGTACGCGAACCCGTCGAATTTATTTAAGTTACCGAAAATAATATCTCTGCCAAAATTTTTCCAGTACTGTAAAACAGCTAACTATGTTACTTGAGCGCCGGTGATATTTTAGTGATTTTAGCAAAAGAAGTGTTTTCCCTGTACTTAACCATGATGAGAAGGGAACGAAAACGTTCAGTTACAAAATTATTACTTGACTGTGTGGATTGCGTCGGTGCTGGCACCTTTGCTTTCGAAAGAAGTGTTTTCGCTAAAATGTTGCCGTGCCAATGTAGCATGTACAGTTGACTCCTGATAATATAACGAACACCAGTTTGCAAGAGAATTAGTTCTTTATAGCTGACCTTCGTTACACTTAGCTCACTCTCCACAGTGGTCACCCACTCTGCTTGTTGATTATCTGAGTATGTCACCATGGTCACGGGTGAGGCCGGCCATACCGTAGTGATGCACATAAAGGCCCATGCCGCGGCTTATGAGTGAGTTTTTGCGCTATTTGCTACTTTTTGCAGGTCATTTTGTCTCACACATAGGCGCATGTGCTTGAGTTGCTAGTGTACCGGTACATTGTATAACTATGCTAATAGTGCGATACCGCACTGCACATTAAACTATGTGAACATGGTGTTTTTGTGGTGTCCGTGACTCCGTGTGTCGCGGGATGGAATTGCATTTAGGTTCACTTATAAGCCCATGCGCTTATTTGTGAGGGTGCGCTTATGCCTGGATATAGGCACATGCGCTTAAATACGCGTCACTGCGGGATGCCTTGCCAGAAGGCGACAGCTTCTTGTGAGTCAAGTGAGGTGCCACCTGATGGTTTGGCGGGTGTAGTGCCGTCCCCTTGAAGTTCACGGTAGACTTGTCTCTGGTCTCTCTCAAAGGTTCTATTCTGTTGAAACTGCCGGGATCGTTCATCGGAACCCCATGATCCCATGAGGATGTACGACTCGTACTGTTATGGACATGGAAATCCGGTCGCACGTCTAGCGGCCCCAGGGCGTTGGCCATGCAGCCATGGATAATGCGGTACACACGTGCATTTATGCGCTGCAGCGCGCTGATCGCATCGGATCAACATGTGCACTGCATGCAGCGTTCTGTACGCGCTGAGGGCCCCGGCCCCGGTCAATCGACTGAATTTCCATGTCCGCTACAGTAGCATGAATGTGCTGCGTCACCTCTTCTATGCATGTTTGACGTCGCACGGTATCACATAAACACATGCTGTGGTAAAAGTCTGTGATCCCCGAGCTCTAAAGTTCAGACTAGTGTACCAGGAAGCACAAAACTGCAGTCCCGGTACCTGCTGGGAAACTTTGTGCTGCTGATATAATGAAAAATAATAGGCAATGTAAAATGTACCTGGTTGAAAAATTATAAGCCCAGTCTCTAGTTAGAAGCGCGGTCTCTAATATAAGCCCGGGGTCCGGACTGGTTGAAAAATTCAAGTGCGGGGCTTACAATGGAGATCATACAGTAAAAACTCGAAAACTATTGAGTGCTGTACTGTAATCATGATACAGATAGCTGGCGTACAGAGTATCAAAAGTGACATAATACGAGCAATCCTACTGTACAATTCTACTAATAAACTACAGCCGAGAACTCCGAAGTCGTAAGCTACACAGCAAGAGGAAAGCACCGGGTACAAGTACTGACCATTTGCAAAAAATGGTTCAGAAAGAAAACAGTACTTGCATGACATAAATGATAATGGCAGAACGAACAAAGCAGACTCAAACATTCCAACATTCTGCAGCTCTTGCATTGCCGGTGTTGTGGTGGCAGTTCTGATACTGAGGCCGTGCATGTCGTGGATCTCGGATAGCCACCACCAACTAGTCAGCGCAACCTCGGCCACTCGCTCTCTTCAGCTCTATGCCTGTGTTGACGGATCTCCAGGTGACCAACCAGCCAACCAGCACAGGCATATATAGATAGCAAATAAAGGCTGCAGAAAAATATCCTAATAGCACAATTTCAGCATGATTCTGTTTGTTCTGATGAGGAGGGCTCTCATTGTTCTGATGAGGAGGGCTCTCATTGTTCTGATGAGGAGAGCTCTCATTGTTCATGTACATGTGCATACTTGTCTCCACATTGTCTGTCACGTTTCCATGGTTGCGGTCTATGAAGCATCCACAGAATCTGGGGTAGGTTGGCTCGACCATCCCCACCACTTCATGGTCAGTTGTTTGAACCAGTGTGCAACCGGCATGACGTCCATGCCCTGTGCCAGTTCCTTAGCTTCGCTGACTGTCTCCTTGATGGGCTCGGCCATTGCATTATGCATCTGCTTTGTGGATAGAACAGTGGCCAGCCAGTCCAATCCATCATACAGACCATCCCCAGTTGTGGCACAAGTAGGGAAGGCAGCTGTAACACCAATGCAAGTGCATGCAGGAAACGGCACGGTGATTAACATACAGCACACTGTGCACATCTTTGTGCTGACAGATACTGTATGATCTCAGTCACCATCCTGTTTTCATTTCGTTTGTTCCTTTGCACTTTAATCCACTACTAGTCAATTACCCCCCCCCCCCCCCCAAACTACCTGCACTACACTTAGCAGTGTGTGTGTGTTCTGAGTCACAGTTGGCTAGTTACTACTACTCCTAGTACTACTAGTAGTCTACTACACTAGTGCAGTCATGGCACCACAGTATGAACCACACATAGGTTGACTTACAACACACATTTGTAAACCCACAAGTCGTGCACAATGGAACACTCAACTTATAACTCTTCCAGCAGTGTGAAGTAAAATGAAGTCTAAGGCTCCACTGGAGCTGTATTCGTGCTTGAATAATACCGTAATAATAATAATGGTGGATTCACAAAACAAAGAATCTCAGCCTGAGTCTGCTTACCCCATGGTCGGCACCGTATTTTTTTCATGCCGAGTTTATCAACAATCTCGTCCCTGCTCATTGCGTGCGGAAGATCTTGCTTGTTGGCAAACACGAGGAACGGTACTCCTCGTAGTTCGTCTTCACATAGGGCCATCTGCAGTTCATCTCGCACCTGGTCAAGGCGATCATGATCATTGCTGTCAACGATGTATACCACCGCTGACGTGTTTTGGTAATAGTGTCGAACAAGTGCCCGCTGCAATAGCAGACATGGCATCAAATTCAGGATTATAACATAGCGTTACCATGGTTACAATACACTTGCTTATGCAACAATGCAAGTTCAAGTGAGATGATAATGCAGTACTGCCAGTAGTAGGCTAGACTACACAGTAGATGTACATGTTGCACTGAGCCAAATTCAGGATCAATCAAGGGCAGTACTGCTTATATCCCATGTACTTGTTTGAGCATGGGCCAAGTTCCCATCAATGTGCAGAACACCACTCGGTCAAAAATCCTTTGTGCTTCGTGCTGCTCTGTTTTTTAATGCTCTACAGGCTAATGACTTGAAATCCTCTTTGTTTATCTCTCAGTTTGATCGTGGCATTAAGCGCTTATTGGATGATCCAGTTTGTTTTGACCGATATCGTGCAATTTTGTTTGACAACATTGGGAACGTTTAGCCTCTCACCAGCTATTTATTGCCCAGGTTCAGCATACGTTTTTCTTCTTTTCGCTTTATGTGCACCACTCTCTTTTCTAAACATTTACAATTTTTTATTTTTGTCCCATCGGCCCCTTTATATTTGTGCAGCTGCACTGTTGAGCTTCTGATGTAAAATAAATAAATAATAATATTCAAATAATAATGTGTGCCGGTTATCTCCTGATCTTTCAAGTAAGCACCGAAGATCATGACAGTTAGCCCAAAGTACATGTAAGTACCGGTAGATGACTCTGGATTGGTAAGTCACGGAGTCATCGTGTCTATGTCTACAAAAGAATGATAACATTATCGTCCCACTGTGTGTCCGTCAACAGGTTATTAATGTTATCGTCAACATGGCCACCATGCGGCGCTTACTCCAAACCGTGAGCCAGCCTGTAGCCAGTCTGGTTGGCTTCCATCACATACTTCACAGCCAGGAAACGTCAGTGGCAGACTGGATGATGTTTTTGGTATTTTGCCAACCCGACAGGTAGGTGGAGAGATCTATTTGGTACAAAATACTTGTGGCCCATGTCTTATTGCATTCACATACTCATAACTCACCCTAATTTAGATACAATCATGGAACACTGTAATAATAAACAGTATGACCCCCCCCCCCCCGTACTCAAGTTACCAACATTTGGTTAATGTAGCACTGGAATTTTCTGGTTTCACAGTACTATTATTAGACATGGTTAGCATTTTTACCGTTCATGCTATTTTCGACGGTCGGCCTGTACCGTTTTGTGTGTGTGTATACATGGCATTTACCGTTCACGCTAGATCCAACGGTACTCGTACCCAACACCCAAAATACCGTCGGTTTGGTACCGTTTCGACGATAGAAAGCTCTTTTTAGCCGTAGAACGAAACGGTAAGATTCCAACTAGGGCTACGTCACAAGTCGATCATTGCGTCAGGAGTCAGGACTCAGAAGCCGAACTGCTAACCGTGTCTCGAAAACACACAAGAATCAGTAGACTCACCCTCTACATGCCGACCGTCGAAAATAGCGTGAACGGTAAAATGCTAACCATGTCTATTAATTTTTAAATAACACTGTGAAACCACAAGATTTAAAATAAATCTTAAAAATAATAATCAGTGGGTGTGGATCACATGAAGTTTGCATTCAATCGGTCAATGGCTACTGGTACTTGCAATCAGCAGTTTGTGTCATTTTACCCGTGACCACAGTGCTGTTTCACCGGGCCCAGTTGATGGGCAACTTCCCCAATTCATATCACAGTGACAACTCATCTGGGGAGCTCCCATAGGGTTAGTCATTTCTCTGGTCCAAGTAATGTATAATATCACAACTGGTTATCACAGGAATTCATCTGGATCCTGGGCTATAGCATGGCTGTCGATGCTACAGTAAGATCGGGCGCCGAAGAACACCTCGCCGAAGAACACCCAGGCTGGAAAACCGGCAAAATTTAAGAACAGTCCAGGCTAGAATTATCAGATTTAAGAACACTTTTAAAATTTGGAACATTCTACATGCATGGGAGGTGAGTACATGTCATGTACACGTGTAAACAGTAACTGCTACATGTACAGTCATTCCCATTTACGACACCCACTAGTTTAGAAGTACTACATTGCACTACATGTACATGTACATGTACATGTACATGACAAACGTCATGACGTCACTCGACTCGCCGCGCGCGTGTGAATAAGAACGGTCTGGCTAGAATCAAAAATTTAAGAACTTTCCTAGGCTGCGCTCGAGCCCCTGCGTTCTTCGGCGCCCGATCTTACTGTAATACTCTATTATGAGCTTCTTGGCCGCAAACATGCAAATTACAGTATACAGCTCTGACTATCAGAAGTGGCCGCTGAGAAGACGGCATATACATGTCATGTATATCATATGTACATACCCCTTTGTCTCTATACATGGGTACCGTATTATCTCTAATATAAGCACGGTCCTTGATTTTTTCAATGTACCTCCGCCCCGTGCTATTATTGGAGACGTTCCTTTATTGGAAACTGTTCCATTATTATTTCAACCTCATTTCAGAGGCTTGTTGCCATGCCAAATTCTTGTCAGACACACACATTTCAGGGTTTTTTTCGCCGGTACAGATAATGAATTTACACAGTGTGCTTATAATGGAGATTGAGCACTATATTTTTTGAATGCTGCCCCAAGGTGTTCTATTATTGGAGACGTGCTATTATTGGAGACTGTGCTTATATTAGAGATAATACGGTATATGTACATACCCCTTTGTCTCTATACATGGGTATATGTACATACATGTACCCCTTTGTCTCTATACATGGGTATATGTACATACCCCTTTGTCTCTATACATGGGTATATGTACATACCCCCTTTGTCTCTATACATGGGTATATGTACATACCCCTTTGTCTCTATACATGGGTATATGTACATACCCCTTTGTCTCTATACATGGGTATATGAACATACCCCCTTTGTCTCTATACATGGGTATATGTACACAGTGGCGGATCCAGGACTTGGCCGAAGAGGGGGCCCAAGGTATCCGCCCCCCCCCCCCCCCAAAACAAAACAACAAATACAACAACAACAAAGTCCTGAAGCTGTGAAGAGCAGTTGTTTTTAGGGTCCGGCGGATTCTGCCGGCAGAAAAATTGACAGAATTCGGTACTTTTTCTGGTAAGTTTTATGGATGTTTGGTATGTGGATAAAAATACTATAGTATGGAGCAGAATTCGAGGAATTGCCCGCCATAAGGTTTGTATGATTCTGCCAATTTCACTGCTTTTCGAGCAGAATATGCCACCTTTTCGAGCAGAATCCGCCGGTTTCTAGTTTTATTCCATTCTCACGACATTTTCAAACTGCACTGGAACATTTCCACTCGACAGCGGCCGCGACGGACCTTTGGACGGCTCTCCAACGCGAGCTCTCTTATCTACCGGTCCACTGAAGAACGACCTGATGTCAGACCCTTTCCTCTTCATCTCATATCTGAAGGTAACCCGTTGGCTACAAGCGAAGTAGAGAGCTAGAGAGCGTATACTTGTAGTTTCTGACAATTGAAAAAGAAAAAAGGAAGGACGAAGTCGACAGCACCGTGCACCAAACAGGACTTCAGCCCAACGCGATCGCTGCACTATGTACCAGGCCCTGCATTTTTGGCACGTTTTTCACATGTTTGAAGTGCGGCCGTGTCCTCAGGTCGCAGTGCGTACAGTAGTTGTACACCGGTACACAGCGCGCTGACTAGTACAGACTCATGCTCGGTGCGTGACACCATGTACCGGAGTGATCGGACACGTATAAAAGTACCCAGCACGCGTGACCCACTTGACACGCCAAGTAATTTCGAGCGCTCATTCTACAGTCTACTGTAATCCTAGACCAAGGTCGAAATTTTCAAAGGGGGGGCCCAGGCCCCCTGGGCCCCCCCCCTGGATCCGCCACTGTATGTACATACCCCTTTGTCTCTATACATGGGTATAATGTACATACCCCTTTGTCTCTGCCGCCAACGTCCCACGCGGTCATAATAAGATTCTTGTACTCCAGTGTCTCCACGTTAAAGCCAATCGTTGGTATCGTGGTGACGACCTCATCCAGCTTCAGCTTGTACAGCACTGTTGTCTTGCCAGCAGCATCCAGACCTAAGCATCACAATACAATACGGTGAAGCACATGTACCGGTAATTGCATATGCGTGGACCGGTATATTGGTGGTGGCCGTAGTAAGGCTTCTCGCAGCATTGCATATAACCTACCGACACCAAGAGCTCTCACATGAAGGCACAGATGCCCATCGATTTCCTAGCCTGTCTTCCTATGGCTTTCTTGGCTCTTGTTCGCGGCATATTTGGAAATGTGGCACATAGAAGATCACTAGCCATGCAGGTGTACATGCGTGGACAGCACACGTACCTGGCCTGTGTCACAACTACATGTACACTCATACCTCCTACATGTATATCCGGGCGGGTCGGGACCGGCCACTGCCCGTAAATTCGGAATGTCTGTAACTCCGAATCACATATATTTTGGTACGGAAAGGCCATAGATATGGCCTTTGACGTCACAATTTCCACAAAAAGTGACAAAAGAGACTGAGAACTGACTGAGAACTGACTGAGAGTGTGGTTGTAGCATTTCCACTGAAACTCGTCCACAGGGTGCCCGGTAAACCGAAGTGCCCGTAACTTTGGGGTCTGGATAACCAAGGTATGAGCGTACCAACGTTAGTTGAACACAAAATCATTTCGTCTGTCTCCTCCAACAGTAGCTGTGGTGTATACAAGACATACGTATGTGTCGCTCGAGAAAGTAATAATTATGGTGTCCTGGAAGTTTTCTTTAAAGATATCTCTTGCATATCTGACAATTATGCATATCCACTACACTACAAATAGGCATGGGATTGATTCGGAAAGTACATAACAACGTTGCAGAGCT